TACTGTACAGTAATTCCTTGAAAGAATTTCATGGCATAAACGGGTCTCTTGACAGCCACCAGGCTCGACTGTCGTTACAATTAGACAGTACTTCACGGAGTACTAATCCATGGCAAAATATAAACTTTGAAAAATTTTATGTACTGTACAGTACCTGAATAATCATTCTACATTGTTATTGTATAGGTACCAGTGCAGTAGAACCTCTATACAGTACACCGGACTTCAATAAACCTGAATTTGCTCTTTGGGGACTCTCTGAAGTGCTTTATTCATCAGAAATATTTTTAAAAGGCTGTAAAATGCAGCAAGTCCAGACGGCTTGTGTTCAAAGGTGCGGTTGAACATCTGTGTGTCGGTGTCGCATGGAACAAGTTTAAGTCCTACCTTCATACTCATTTATGTGTACTTTATATGTAGAGTAGTTATTGTCTTTTACAGGGATAGTTGAGGGTTTAAGAAATGGGCAAAATCATGTACAATAAGAGTGCAGAGGTCTTATTGCAACTATATCTTGCGCTAGTCAGGCCGCACCTGATTATGCGGTTCAGTTCTGGTGCCCTTATTATAGAATGGATATCAATTCACTGGAGTCGGTGCAGCGAAGAATGACGAAATTGATTCCGGGACTTAGAAACCTTCCATATCAGGATAGATTAAAGAAACTAAACTTGCAATCCCTGGAAAGACGAAGAGTGCGGGGAGATATGATAGAAGTATTTAAGAAGGGTGAAAGGAATCAATAGAGGAGATATAGATAAAGTTCTTATAATATCCGAGCAGAATAGGACTCGTAGCAACAGATTTAGGTTGGATAAGATTAGGTTTAGGAGGGAGATAGGAAGGAACTGGTTCACAAATAGGGTGGTGGACGAGTGGAACAAGCTTAGTAACTTTGTAGTAAGTGCTGGAATGCTGGAAAGTTATAAAAGGAGGCTAGATAGATTCATGGATGATAGTGGTAGTAACTCTCGACAGGAGCTGCCATGCACAGGCCAACTGGGCTATTGCAGACTCCTTATTTTCTTATGTTAAGAAACAAATGAAAAAAAAATATCTTGTGAAAACAACAACACTTGTTCACTGAATACTGTACAGTGGTCTAATTATATGTGCTGTAGGCCTAACGTGAGCTACTAAGTGTGAGGGCCAAGATACTGCATGGTGGCGGGGGAACTGGGCGTTGTCGCATTTGTTAGATTTATTTATTGATTCAATATTATATTCTCGTATGATCAGCCTCTTATGGTGTATAAGTCATCATAATTAATAGAACATCTTTAATAATAAAAAAATACAATATATAATTTGTAATTTGACTTTAAAATAAAAGGATAAGCTGTATCAGAAGGTATGCACTCAGGATATGTTCCTGGAGGGAGTTTTCAGCAATTCAGCTTACAACAGTCACTAACATATTGTACAGTATTTGATATGGAGATACCTTCGTAGCATTAGCTACAGTATTTATTACTTTTGAATGATACATGATGACTCAATTTGGCTACTAGTGCCCATAGACAACTGATTAATGAATAAACCAGGGAATATGCAGATGTGTAATACACTACAATATTATTGATTAATGTTACTACAATATTATTTATTAAGTGTTGATAAATACTGTACAGTACAATGTTATTTACCAAGTGCTGAAGACAGATGTTGTGGTAAGCATGAGACAGAGGGCACTGTTAACATGGTGAGGGAGAGAAAGAACAATCAGCTGTTCACACTTGTAAACAAAGAATTTACATTATGATGCAATGATTCATCTGGGGGTTGAGTGTGGGATTCTTTTATTGATTATTTCATGATAATGTTATGTCAACCTGGCACCAAATGAACCTAAATAATTTAGGAATTATGGCGAAAATGCCGTAAGACGTGTTAAAGTATTCCTGGGGGAGGAAGCCACCCACCCATGCTACCTCCTGCTGACCACTCATATATGTAGCTACATTCACCTCCTAGTTGTCTTTATTCATAATGCACATGTGCACATTGAAATTACTTTCCTACAAATTCTGTGGTGATCTGTAATTATATAAACCCTGTACAACACTTTATAGACGAAACAGTCATATCAGTGAAAACAGTTGTCGACAACAAAAGGTGTCCAATTTCCTTGAAACAGTCCCGAGGCAGGATTACGTCCAGCACACCTCCCTCCCTAGGTTCACTTTTTGTGCCTGGGGCCTGCCCCTATTAGTCGGGTGTATCGCGGTACTACTTAAATACATTTCCCTTTTTCGGCATCTAAACTAGCAACTTTGAAGTCTTATTGCATAGATGAATGTTCTGTACCAAGCAATTAGCCCATTCAACCTAGTGATCATACAGTATTTTACATACTGTATAGAATTTTTTTAATCTACTTCATTTAAAGTGGGTAACAAACTAAAGTGATGAAACAAATCAAATGCAGTGCCTGTAAATTCAACTTTTTGTTTCAGAATTCCAAAACTGATAAACTAAATACAAATACTGTACAGTATTGTACTGTACAGTAAATTCAGCGGTGAAAGTACAGAACTGAATACACAACAAAATTCGAGATCAATATAAAGCATGACCTATCATATGAATATTAGTACAGTAATTACTTTTCAGGTCTTACCTTTCAGAAATATGACAGTATTTGTGGAGAAACTGATACAGTATATGGAGGAGAGCTGTAGGCAACCAAGTGTTTACAAAATGGTGTCACTCCAACTGTTAATGGCAAAAATGCAACAGAGGAACACGGAGTTACACTTTCAAAATATCTACAGTTACATTTCCATAAAATCTTCATCAAAAATTATACAGGATCAAAGAAACCTAGCATATTCCAGGCCTAGGTAATATCACCCCTTCAACAATAATTTTAGCTACCTAACACTGAACAAATACAGGGTACCAGCAAATCTGTTCAATTATAAGCAAAGTAGAAGGTATAACAATAGATCTATGTATTGCCAAAGGTTGACTTTTGAAATGGAATCTATATACCATACAATACCGGATAGTCCTGATAAGTTCGGTATCTGGTAATGGGCTTCATAGAACCATGTAATAGTGTATGTTTTAACCATTTGATAAACAAAATTACCCATACAAATAACTTTAGGATGCCCATTGTTAATACGGTACAGCATTTCCCAAACATTGTAATCAGTATATTAGTGAAATATTAGCTTTAGCTTAGTGTGTATTTTAAGGCTGCTACCTTATTGGTTTGTTTTCTTCTAGATTTTCACAAAATACTTGTCTTTATGAAAAGATTTCAAGGTACTGTAATAATTCAGACATGTTTGGCACCTTAAGTACTGTACTTACTGCAAGGACATTTCACCATAGAACATAAGGGTACGAGCAGTAAGTTTTGCACAATATCATTTTTACTTTTTTTTTTTGTTTACATCTTGTCTTTGGAAGACTCCAAAGTACAATTACCTATCTGCCATGTACCTACACTCAACCACCAAGATGAAGACAATATGGCATTATTCATCAGTTGCTCATGCATTTTTTATCTTCAACTTCATGAAGTAAGAAAGCATTTATGGTATTACATGTATTATAATATCTGGTCTCCTTAGCTGTATGTAGTCTACTAGGATATTTAAACTGTAGTGACCACTAACCTAACTTTCGTTAATGGACACTACAGTGTAAATATTCCAGTAGATCAACTCCAGCTCAATAGCCTCTTCCAAAATACAAGATAATTTAAATAGTATTTAAAATACATATAGCAAATAGCTCATACACCACTGCAGCTCCAGAAAAACTGAGAAATACACTTACTATACTATGTCTGTGACTCGTTTCTACTAGCTGTACTGTACTTGGACATAGTTGTCATGTTTTACAATTCACCAAAACACACAGGGCACTAAGGCATACTGCCTAAATGCCAATTCATTAATATTTTAACAGTAGCTTTCTTCAGGGCTCTAACACAAGATTTGCATTATGTTGATCAACAAATTTTATGAAATGCATTCCATTGGTTAATAAGAAATGTTTCAATACAAATCCCAAAGAAAACAAACCATCAGTGAGCTAGAAACCTAATTACAGTCCCAAGGTTTGGTATCATTATTACATGCAATTTTTCTATGTTCAATGTCACAGTCTGGCAGTCATCATTTATATACCTGTAGTCAAAGCTGGTTTTTGCATAGAAACTTAATATTTTATGATGCACAGTATTATAGCTCTGGGTAACAATGTTGGACAAGTAATATCAATATAAAAAAATAATAATTTTAAAATTTAAAATGACAGCACCAGCCATAAAGTTTGATGCTCAGCAACTGTTAAGTACAGTACTGGCAGTATATAAATCTGTTGTACATTACACATTGAAGATAATTAACAGTTATCAAATAATGAAAAAATATCATGGACCCAATCAACACTTTTTCAACATTAAGCATGAAGGGTGGAGTTAAAGCTTTCTCAATAGTAAAACACAAAAAAATCAATAACAATTCCTGGGTTGGATATGGGCTCCTCCCTACTAAAGGTAATGAACAACTTTTCTTATATATCATAGGTCGTCACAACAGCTAGCTTAGGGTGTGTAAATAATACCTAAAGATTTGCTTCCTAATTCTATTAATCACTATGGAATAAATTTTCATCTAATGAACTGATACAGGCATTAAGATAAAAGGTGAAGCTTGACAATGTTCTGAAAGAAAAATGTAGTTATCCAGCACCATAAAGCTTTTACCATAAACTGATGATGAAGGAGTTGGCAAACACAGACATGAGACACTAAAGCCATTGAAACACCCATAAATAAAGCAAATATAGTAGAAGACAGTGCAAAAAATTGAGTGTAGAGGTTTTGGCCAACGGCAGCAGCAGCGAGTGGTGGGTGAGCGTCCAGCTGAAGACTGAAGGACAGGGCGACGCATCACAGCTGATCACACAACCCCAACATATACTGTACTCCCTTATATTGCACTTTCACTTGAACACACAATAAACAAGAAAACACTTACTTCCTGAATCTCTTGAACACTAGAGTTCAGGTTTTTCTTTGTCAAACTGGCGACCAGATTACCAATATGAGACAAAGCAGCAGTTAGCGAGTCTAGGTTCATAGTGCCATTAAAACGGCATCGAAAGCTTCAAATTTGTTTGAAGCTTTCGCATACACCTTCTACAACCACCTAGTGAGTGTATCGGTAATTTATCGAAGTCCAACATTAGGAAAAGTGGGTCAGATCTCCACCGAAACACTATGTGATTTTTCCCTTGTCCTCCATGTTTGCTCCGACCTTACTCGCTCCAAACTTTCCTTGACCGTCTGGGCGGACTATAGACTATACAAGTTGAGCCGCGGCACATAAAACAAAAACGCATCGGCTCTTTTCCTATCGAATCCCACATGTATTCATTTGCCTTGAAATAGAATCCGAATACTATTTATAAGATATTTAACAGGTTCAGTCTACACGTGATGAAATAATATCAAAATCTATTGAATAACAGACGCAGAGATTATCACTATTATTGTTTATTGTATGAATAAATCATTGTTTAAAAAATCTCTACCTTCCATTTATTTACTTGTATCATATTGTAAGTGCCCCGGTGGTATTAGTTTTACAGTAAGCGAGTATTATTGTCTCGGAACAACAACCGGCGGGCAACTCGATTTTGTGAAGTCACTTGACAACAGGGGCGGACTACCTCTGGCGGGGCGTTCAAAAATGATTACCACATTTCTTATAACAAACAACAAACTATTAATTTTTGCATTGTAGTTTTTTGCGCATCTTAGAAAACAGTCACGCTTATTATTAATTTGTTACTGAAAAATGTTGTATAGTATATCGCAACAATGGTAACAACCGAGAGACCCAGTTTAATTGTTAAAAATCTTTACAAGTGGTTAGTAATAATCTCATATATATGAATTTAAGTGTAATTCTTCTGTCAATATCATAACAGACGGAGTTCAAGTTTTGTCAAGACACATGTTTTGATATTTTTTGTTGAGTTATATCTATTACCATGAATTTCACTGCTTATTCGAGGAAATTAACAATCTAAAGGACAATTACAGGACGATCTCTTTTGGTTTCAAGCATGGCCACAGGAATGGATGCTCAGATTCAGCGTTGTAAACAAGTGCAAGAGAATGTAAGGAAGCGTATCAGGTGTAATTCTCAGAAAAAATGGGTTTGAGGGAGTTATTGGGTATCTGTAACCTTGGATGAACTACCCTAGAGGTCGTGCTGTGCTCATTTTGTCCTATTCTCACGCTCTGGATACAGCCCTCGATGATACACATACAGCGGGATAAATTTAGGTATCGGTGTTAATTCTTTAATATCGATGAACTACTGTGTTGATTTGATAATGCGCAGTGTAGCTTTATTGGTGTACACTTGCAATTCAATAAAGCACAGTTTATAATACACGCTTGGCCTATGGAGTATCACATGTCCCAACTTAACGAAGCCGTAAATGTGTGAACGATATAGGGTGTTACGTTAACCCTGCCAGTGTTCTTATCAATGTTAGCATCCTCACAGTGGGGTGCCCGGGCCCCCAGTCATTTCCTGTTGATGCAAAACTGCATTTTATTATTATTATTATTATTATTATTATTATTATTATTATTATTATTATTATTATTATTATTATTTTAATATTTTTTTAAGGTTGGGGACCTTAACAAACAATTTTAGTCCCGGTGGATAATAGTCAGCCTGCCATGGTGGGCAACCGGGATGGGGGAGGGATACAGGGCTCCGCCAAAAGTGGGTGGAATCTTGATACTGTTATAACTTGTCAACCAGCCATCTCATGTCAGCCTACGAAATATATCTTGGTTCAGGATGAATAGGAGAAACTTTTATGATATGTATGTTACCCATATAAGTTTTCGCGGTGATGATTTTAGTGGAATTGTTCACGTAATTTCAATAGTGAATCAAGAGAGTAATACTGCTAATTGTATTGTATTGTATTGTATTGTATTGTATTGTATTGTATCAACTGGGGATGATTATCGTGGCAGGGCGATGTGACAGAAACATGGCTTGGCGAGGGTCAATTAACCAAAACAAAAGGCAAGGGAAAATGCACGCATTGTAACAAAATATACAATCCGATGGTAGAGCAAAAGGTAACTATACAATTACAAAGCAAAGTGTAAATTTCTATTTTATTTTGCAATCTATGATATTCTAATATTCTGATTCCGTTTCCCATAGATTGTACTGATTCTGCAGCGAACAATATGGCGTCACTGTTCAGCTATGTTAAATGTGGAGTGTTTGTTCCACCAATGCCAACATCTTTGGAGCAATTGAAGAACAGGATGCAAAACGCTGTTCTTAAAGTTAACGTCGATATGCTAGAAATATATGGAAACAATATCGTTTCGATGTTTGCAGAGCCACAAGGGATGCACATATTAAAATATCATAGATTACATAAAATAAACATTACTTTGTGATTGTAATTGTTAGTTTCTTTTTAATAAATATTTGAAATCAAGAAGATCATTTGTATTCACCCTGTACTCTTCACATGTGGCGAGCACTGCCTATACAATCCCCAAAACGTTGACAAATAAAGGAAGTGTGTGACTTACAACAATTTGACAAAAAAACCTTAATAGTTTTCACTTAATATGTCACAGTATGTTGGCTACCAAGAAGTAAATAAAATTTATATTATATAAAAAGTAACCAGAAGGAAGGTTGGTACAGCGGTTTTATATATAAATTTAAACATAGATCATAACAAATTGAAATATATCCTGATTACTAAAGTAAAACAAATTTAACTGGAGTTGAAAACTGCTGGAACAGTATTGTAAGTGCTAGGAATGGCAGCTATGTTTAAACACCTATTTCAAGTATTTGCACTTTCATAAAAGTGTGCATTTCAAGTTGGTTTTTGTGCACTAAGACAATAAAAAAGCTTTTGTGCAAGTACACTTCACATTACGGTCTAAGTCATCCTTGGCAAGGGGTAGTGTGAGCCGAATAGTAACCAGTTTACGGTTCATCTCCATCCATCCATGATTCTTTGGGTTCTCAGTGGCTTCACCGGCTAGTGGGCGGTAGTCCAGATGCTTGCTTGGAAGACACATCTATGATGCTGGTCCAGTGCGCCATACGTGGGTGGGATTCTTTCCACGTCTCAAGTCTTTTGACAGAACTTCTTCATTCTCACGAGATCAACATTCTCATTGGCAGTGTGAGTGTGAGCAGGTGTAGTGTGAGGAGGTGCTGTGTGAGGAGGTGCTGTGTGAGGAGGCGTAGTGTGAGGTGTAGTGTGAGGAGGTGCTGTGTGAGGAGGTGTAGTGTGAGGTGCTGTGTGAGGTGTAGTGTGAGGAGGTGTAGTGTGAGAAGATACTGTGTGAGGAGATGTAGTGTGAGGAGTTGTAGTGTGAGGAGTTGTAGTGTGAGGAGTTGTAGTGTGAGGAGGTGTAGGAGGTGTGAGTGTAAGGAGGTGCTATGTGAGGTGTAGTGAGGTGGTGTAGTAAGGAGGTGCTGGGAGATGAGGTGTAGTGTGAGGGAGGTGTAGTGTGAGGAGGTGTAGTGTGAGTGTGTGAGTGTGAGGGTGTGTGAGGAGGTGTGTGGAGGAGGTGCTGTGTGAGGAGGTGTAGTGTGAGGAGGTGTAGTGAGGTGAGGTGTAGGTGAGGATGGTGAAGTGTGAGGATGGTAGTGAGGAGGTGTAGTGTAAGGAGGTGTAGTGTGAGGAGGTGTAGTGAGAATGTGTAGTGTGAGGAGGTGCTGTATGATGAGGTAGTGATGAGGTGTGTGTGAGGAGGTGTAGTGTGAGGAGGTGTAGGAGGAGGTGTGTGAGGGGTGTGGAGGAGGTAGTGTAAGGAGGTGTAGTGTGAGGTGGTGTGAGGAGGTGTAGTGTGAGGAGTTGTGTGAGGAGTTGTAGTGTGAGGAGTTGTAGTGGAGAGGTGTAGTGTGAGGAGGTGTATGTAAGGAGGTGCGTGTGAGGTGTAGGGAGGTGGTGTAGTGTAAGGAGGTGCTGTGAGATGAGGTGTAGTGTGAGGAGGTGTAGTGTGAGGAGGTGTGGTGTGAGGTGTGTGTGTGGAGGAGGTGTGAGGAGGTGCTGTGTGGGAGGAGGTGTAGTGTGAGGAGGTGAAAGAGGTGAGGTGTAGAGGATGGTGAAGTGTGAGGGATGTAGTGTGAGGAGGTGTAGTGTAAGGAGGTGTAGGGAGGGGAGGTGTAGTGTGAGAATGTGTAGTGTGAGGAGGTGCTGTATGATGAGGTGTAGTGTGATGTGATGAGGTGTAGTGTGAGGAGGTGCTGTGTGAGGTGTAGTGTGAGGAGGTGTAGTGTGTAGTGTGTGCTGTGTGAGGAGGTGAAGTATGAGGCGTAGTGTGAGGAGGTGCTGTGTGAGGAGGTGTAGTGTGAGGAGGTGCTGTGTGAGGAGGTGTAGTGTAAGGAGGTGTAGTGTGAGGTGAGGTGTAGTGTGAGGATGGTGTAGTGTGAGGTGAGGTGTTAGGAGACTATCAAGTATGAGTTTTAAGTAGATCCAGGGTAAACAGTAGCGTAGTTCGGGCTTTACATCGTTGAGGCGCGGGAAGTAAACACACCAACTGCACCCATGGATCTCCCGAACAATTTCCAAAGGTGCAATCTCTGTTACAGAATATGGTGCTCTTCGAATCTTTATGTGAATCATTTTAAAGATTCGAATTTTTATCCCGTAAGATTCTGAATTGAATAAGTGGTCATTTCCGTAAGTATGGGTTGATGAGGTTTATTCCCGCCCTTACTGGATCCACCTGTGAAAGTGATATGTATCAGTAACGTATAATATACAGTACACGTATTCATTTAATGAACTACATCACAGACTACTGAGTTTGAGTGCTAAGTTTTTGAAAATTAACTATACTTTATTAGCATGAAAATTTGAAATGGTTCGCTAATGCAGACTAGTGTAATTTTAACTTATATCAAATACGCAAACACGTACATCAACTAAAGCACGAACACACACACACACACACACACACACACATATATATATATATATATATATATATATATATATATATATATATATATATATATATATATATATATATATATATATATATATATATATATATATATTAAGAAGATTAGTAAGGGTCACTGCCTTATGACAGGAACATTGTGGACACCTGCTGTCCCCTAGGGACTTGATCTCACTCTACTGTATATATTAGCCTTGTCAAGTATTTCTCTTTAGTCTGTACTCACTGAAGATGTGAATTACACGAAAGCGCTTGGGAACTTCGTGTTTTCTTGTTTCTTGTGGTTATCAGCATATACTGTGTATATATATATATATATGCCAGTGCCTCCATGTCTATATGTCTAACATAACTCAATGATTGACAACAATGACTACAATCATTCAGGAACTGATAACGCTATTTCCCAGATTCACCATTCTTTGAGGTCTAAAGTTTAGATGTCCAGTTCAAGGGTCACGGAGCCTTATAAAACTAAAATATAAAAAACAATAGTCTCCCCTTCAATCGAAAACGTTTCGAACTTATTATGTTACCGGATGACGAAAATCCAATTACTGTAGACTCAAGCAATAATCAGCAGGAAGCTGTTCTCACCCCACTGTGTTGCCCAACACTGCAGGGACACTCACTGATTAGTCAAATGACAAAACATTTCAACATTCTCTCAGTATTGTGGAGGGCGGTTATAACACAATGGCTAGCAGTGGGTTCCTCTATACCACCTCACAACCGGCTTATTCAGCTCCGTCATGCCGGACTGAAACTGGGAGATATAAAAGGCACCTTGCACGGGTGCGCTACAAATCGTACCCTCCCACCATCCAGCATGGTCGCACTGAAGATTGTCGTCGCTCTACTTTGTTTGGGTCAGTTCCTAACACTTTTCCTTCACATATTGCTTTGAAAGCTGTTATCTAACATTGTATATCAGTTGTAATATTTACCACTTACTTGGAAATATTGTATATAAAGAAGTAACTAACTCTAAAATACTAACTATTATTAAATTTGATTGAATTGTAACAGTTTTCGTGAAATAATTCTTAAGTACCACTTATCTTTCAGGATTGGTTGTCGCCGAGGAGACTCAGCGCGTGAGTATTCTGGACTGAGTATTGGTCCAAATGAAAACTGGAAGAGCCTTATTTAGTGTTACAGAAAAAAGGTCTTTTCGGTATCCCATTACAAAACTGGGGGAATACAATTCTGAATATTGGAAATTTGATCAGAATTATAGACACTATAAAATCACTTGCGGTTGTTGAACTATTTCTAACGTCTGGCCTGTAATCGTAAATTTTGATGACTATTTGTGAATGTTCTGTGGTAGAATGTAGAGATACTGTGAAGTTGTATGGTACTGTGGGCAATAGGTTTACCTATAAATATACCTGGAAATGAATAAGGCTAGACTGGTACAACAGGTGATGCAATTATTTAACCAAGGTGAGCTGCTGTAATACATCTTTGAGAGTGGGAACAGCCAACCCCTGGAACTTGATCACCAAAAAATTCCTAAGCTACTCATAGTGATCCATTAAACGACTTGAAATCCGTTGGTCGATATTTGAGCAAGAAATGAAGCTCGGCGTTCATCATTATAAATTAATATGAAAGAAGGTAAACGCTGACTTTGGGAGTGCGAGAATTAGGAAAACTGTTTACTAGGGAATACCGAGAAAGCCGATAGTCAGCATCAGTTAGAAAATGCTTTGTAGTTGTACTGTATGTGACGTCATACATCAAGTAACATTTATTTTGAACATCTCGGACACTTATTTTTTATTTTCATTAATATATCAACAAGTAACACTGATCATGGTATTTCAATGATGTTCCTTTGGTTGGGATATAATGTTATTGTTATTACATACAAGTGTCTAATGTATTACTGCGCTTCAACAACTAAGATCTTTGAGCACGTAACTAGATTGGTAATGCACTAGTCATCAACATTTAAAACTCTTGACATAACTCTGGATTTCATTACATATGATTAGTGTCAGGCGCAATGGACAGCATCACTCCGTTAAAAATCTGGAGACTGACACATACCTTTTCATCGTTGGTAAATTCAGTGCGGTAACTAATCGTTAAATAAGCAGTGAAAAACTCTTACCATTCGAATATATGAATTCGTGTATGTTAACAAGAGTCGTTTCACAAATTTCCACAGGTCTGGTGTAACTACAACGTATGACTACTGAATGAAAACTTTTAAGTACTGTAATTTCTCTTCGATTTCATTACAAACGTACAGGCTTGCAATTGAGTTCATTATTTAGCGAAAATTTTGATTTTTTTCGAGCATTTTGATTCTAGTCAATGGTTCAAGGTGTTAGATAGTAAACAGTGTGAAACGAAAAGCTTGGGGAGGTGTTGCTTATACTTAACACTTTTTTTTCTTCTCTTCTCTAGCCTCCTCTAGCCTCCTCTAGCCTTCTTTTCGTCACTTTCTGCAGTTTAGACAATCCAGGTCCGAAATAATACAGGTACTCAACGTTATTATAGCAGACAGTAGTTTAAAAGCTTACAGGAAAATAAAAATGGAAAGCGTTGGTCAATTTGATAGTATTATGAGGAATTTGGTTAACTAACGTAAAGTGAACGTTGAGACGTTTTGTAACTATAAGAATTTCTCCTATAGTTTTGTTTCAGCTGCAATGGTCTCTTGTATTACGACTAGAACTAGAAACACATCACTAACACATTCAGCAAGAAAATAATTTAGACATTCAAACGTTTATAAGCACTCAGTGGCTAAATGAAAACTGTATTTTATGGATAAGACATTTGTAAAAATTTGCATTGGTCAGCTCTGGAAGTTGACAAGCTATAGTACTGAAAGCAACACTGTAAGGCCCTGTTTTTTCTACAATATAAGGATCTACTGTACATATACTGATAGACTTGTATTTTATAAGTCTTAAACTTTTCATCCTGTTGTAACTGTCCAGCATAACCAGATTACCTTGTTTGTTAAAAGATCGTTTGTATGTTCCATTGTGTGAGTACCGGTAAGAGAGGACCCAGCCTAGCCAGAGCAACTACAGTTATATAGCAATAGAAAATTTAAGTTACGCCAATAATTAAAGCAATTATTATTCTAAAGTATCTAATTTCATATTTAATTTTTTGTACTTAGAATAACAATTTAGGCTATGTGATTAATGCCTGTTTGGAATCTAATTTGTTACGATTAAAGTAAATACCTGCATTTCCCAATTAAAAAAAAATCCAAGATCATTATGAATTATTGGCCACCCGCTTTAAAAACGAGTAATAATATTATACATGCAGGCGGTACTCGGGTCAACACATTAATGTGTTGATACATTTATTTAATTAAGTTTTAACTTCATGATTTTTTGTTCTGTTTTTCTGCACTACAGGAGAAGCGTGGCGGCGGGGGTTATGGCAGTGCCGGACACGGTCATGGGGGACATGGAGGCGGCGGCTATGGTACTGGCGGTGGCGGCTACCTGATCGTTGGTGCTGGTGGCGGCGGCGGCGGCCATGGACCTAGCGCTTCTGACATCGCCAACCAGGCTGCACATCAAGCCACAGCCGCTGCCGCAGGTCTTCCTGGAGCTGCCAACGCAGCCGCAGGGGCCGCAGCTAATCAGGCTGCTGCTGCTTCATCGGCCGCAGCACAAACAGCTCAAGCTGCCGCAGCCAATAAGCAGTCTCAGGCAGCACAGATTACAACTGCTGCCCAAGGAGCGCAGGCAGCAGCCTTCGCCGAAGGCTCAATGACCTCCCGGACCATAGCAGCCGAGCAGGAAGCCAAGAACACGTACAATCTGGCGGTGCAGGCAGCCAACGATATTGACGCTGCTCACGCCGAGGCTCGAGGCATCGTGGAGGAGACTTACCAGGCCCTGGTGGCTGCCAGAGCTATGAGGGCAGCGCAGGCAGCCATGGCCTGGCAGGCTCAGCAGGCCTCTTACTCCCTTAATCAACAGCAGAATCTGTCCCTGAACGACCTGCAAAAGGCAAATCAAGCAGCTGCCCAGGCCGAGGCAGCAGCAGCTAAGGCACTGGCTAAATCTAAGAACAGAGGTTACGGACATGGAGTGCACTAAGTAGGTTTCCTTTCCAGCTCTTCTTCACAGCTGTACCAGTCGTTATGTCGTGTACTGAAATTGTTGAATAAACGCCACTAGTCAAAGACATGAGTAGGCTATTTGCATAATAAGAAATTTAAGTCCACACGAAAACACGACAATGCAACACTGGCACCGGCGCACCGACGACGGAGAGGCGATTATTGTTTATCTTGTGGACGGACCTCAGTAGGTTACTGTCTGGGATAACAGTGCATTGTAATACCATGTTTTAACTGGAATTTAAATATAGCATTATGTGATGCTTGTGTAAATACATTTTCACAGATGTATTATAGGAAAATATTCGTGATAGATGAATAAAGATTGTCGAGAAAAAATAATTTCATTACCACCTAGCGTAAGGGAAGAACAGACAAGACAAAAAGTCCTTACAAAAGACAAAAAAGACATTTAACTGGTTCCATATTTCCAGAAAACTCAACACATGACCCAAGTATACAACTCTCACTAATACCTCGCTTATGTCTTCCTTTTAGTTCTATGATATGCAAATTTTATTTGCCTTGTTACGTATGAATCCAAATAAACTCCGTGTTTAGATTTTTTTTTAAGGGGATTAGCCCACCCGGGCACAAGTCACTGACCCACATCGGGGCCTGGGGGGCGAAAATGTGATAATAATAATAATAATAATTCATAGTAAATAAAATTTATAATAAAAAATAAAATGATGATAATAATAATAATAATAATAATTCTGTAATAATAATAATAATAATAATAATAATAATAAAGACCTGGGACTTGGTCACAATTTTAGTGATGCCATATGGCAGCAGGGTCTACCATTAAACAACACATTATGCTTCCAATATCTTCCCAGGTGGTAGTACCTCCCTGTTTGGTAGCTGCCTACTACTTGATGGAATTACTTCATTAGCTGTGAATGTGCCTTAGGATATTAAAGCTTGCCATTGTAACCGCCCGTTTATGACAGTTGTTTCGGTCAGCCATCACAACCCAATAATGCCTGCACACTGTCTACTCTACAGTGTGAGGTTACGTTGGGTGCGATTCTGTGATAGCCTACAGTAGCTGCTGCACCTAGCCTATACTTATAAAAAAAAACTACAGTATAATTGTTTTGTATAAGTATATAATAATTCTGGAACACAATTAAATGATTCGTTCGTTAGATGAAACGCAATTGTATATGTCAATACTGCATCTTCGTGATAAACCAAATTTTGTGAGAAATATCTCGGCCAAAATACCATAGTCCACGCCTAAAATATAATATAACATTAGAAATGAGCTATTTTCATATATATATATATATATATATATATATATATATATATATATATATATATATATATATATATATATATATATATATATATATATATATATATATATTAAATGTTAGGTTGTTATTAATTCTCTAAATAACCCCCCCCAAAAAAAAAAATATATATATAAATAAATGAATAAATAAATAAATAAATAATAAATCGCGGTATTTTGAAATCGAAAACCTGGCCCTAACATTATTGTGAAACGTGCCCAATGATCCTGGTCATGTCCCCACTCTCTCAAGTCGTCAGTCCTGGCTTCACACAGACTTACAGCTCTTGCTCGGTGGAGAAACGTTATCTTTACAGCTTTAATATTTCTAAACTCAAACACAAGACATAATATATCTAAGTGTATATAAACCTTCAGCTATCCATCGTGTTTGGTGTAAACTCATACGTGAAATTTCCACAAAGCATGGAAAAACTTTGACTTTCTTTTTTATTCATATATTTCCTTTCATGTTCTCACTCCTTACAAAAAAATACATCCTTCTTCTTTACTAATTTACATATCTAAGAGTTACTTCCTTAACCTGCTTTTGTACTTGATAAAGCTGTTTGTTTTATCAGTTTCCCCACCAATATTCTCCCATTCATATCTGTAATCAATTATCTTCATTCTCCTTAATTTAGTCGTTACTTCAGAGATTAAAGTTTGAATCAAGGAAATTAAGCGGGTTAACTCACCATAGCCTTATCATATATTATTTACCATTTGTTATTCTTAAAATATAAATTACGAATGATAACTTGGTCAAATAGAAGAAGATTTGTCAAGAGGTCTGAGATGCTCCATCAGTTAGCCATTTATCTTAGAGGCTCCATCAGGGACCCCTTTGTCTGAGTGGCCACACCCCAAACAGACATTGTCCAAAAGGCTACTCCAGCCAGCCATATGTATAAAATATTCCTCAAGGCATTCATGTGTGTCGTGTTACCCCAAATAGCCACGTATGCTAGAAATTAACCCCACGTAGAGGTGACCTTATCAATCGTGAGACACTACCCCGGGCCAGAGGCGGTTAGCAATGCACTTGATAAATACTTTAATGCGGATTTGATTATAACTTGTATCCAAAAATTGCATCTACAATAATTTTCAGAGTATTTTAATGCATATTCAAATACATTATCATTTATGCAGTTTGTTATTATATGCATTTGCATATGTGCATATGCAAATGCATATTTAAGCCATTTTTGAGCTAAAGTGCATATTCATATTTTTTTGTTTTATAGGGCATATATTTGGAAAATTCCAAAATATTATAAAACATTCTTCAACCTCAAGGGTAAAAAAATTCGCGAGCATAACAGCAACGCTGGGGCAGAAATTACTGATATTTGAAATATAATGAATGTCCATTTTGTTGCACTAATGCAAAATCGAAAATACGCCATTTTGTTTTAGCGTCATAATATCCAAAAGGAACATACTTAAGTGACGTTTATATAGGTCAATATTAGGCTGTGGTTAGCTAGGCCGTGATTGGCTGGTCAGTGGACATGAACTGTACGTGATGGGTTCGTGTTCAGCCAGGCAGGGTATAGATGCACGGGCTCCACCAGTTCCCTCCTGACACTCTTTTGTTCTTCTGTTTTCTTAAAAGGAAAATACTTTTTTCAGTATTGTTTAATAAATTACTTTATGTCAGTATATTGTTTTTTGTATTTAATCCTTCTTTAAAAAATCCTACTTCGGCGACATCCTGTCTGGGAAAGTAAATTTACTGAGAAAATGTACAGAAAAGGAGTTATTAACTTAGTAGTTATTATTTATTTACATATTTTAAAGTACATATTTAAGTGCATATTGTCTCAGTTTTTACTGCATATTTGCATGCATATTTTTTCAAATAAATCTGCAAAATCGTGAGTTTACGTGATGTGTTTTGTGGAACTCCTTGGAGTTCTTTTGTGACTTGTGTCCGGGGTAGATGATTTGTGTCCAAGGTGGATGACTTGTGTCTGGGATGGATGACTAGTGTTCGGGTTGAACGATTTGTGTCCGAGGTGGATGATTTTTGTCCGGGATGGATGATTTGTGTCCGGGGTAGATAACTAGTGTCCGGGGTGGATGACTTGTGTCTGGGGTGGATGAATTGTGTCTGGGGTGGATGACTTGTGTCTGGGGGTAGATGACTAGTGTCCGGGGTGGATGACTTGTGTCCAGGATGGATGGCTATGTCCTGGTTGGATGACTTGCGTTCGGGTTGGACGATTTGTGTCCGAGGTGGATGACTAGTGTCTAGGGTGGATGACTTTTGTCCGAGGTGGATAACTTGTGTCTGGGGTGGATAAATTGCCTGGGGTGGATGATTTGTATCCGAGGTGGATGACTTGTGTCCGAGGTGGATGACTAGTGTCCGAGGTGGATGAACTTGTGTCTCGTGTTTGTAAAGGGATAAATTTAATTATTCACCCTGTTACTTTGACACATTGTAATGTTTTATGTTTATCAGGACATATCTCGATACTTCTCTCTATCGCGTCTACTTGTATCGTCTCCGTTAACGACAGGAAACCTCGGATTACCATAACAATAATAAACAATGAAAAATGGAATGTATTTAGGATGTATTTCGAGTGTATTTGAATATATTTTTTGAAGTATTGTATTCTAGTTTACAGTGATGTATTTGGTATTTAGATACATTTTGAAGTACAGTATCTATGGCCATCTTTGCCCCAGGCGGTCACGTGTGGAAGAATTCTCCAGCCATATACAATATACTGTATATATATAATGACTCAATAGCGTAAGTATTTTTGTTTAAGTTGCCAAATGATATTCAGTTACCGACTGTGTTCTCCGTCAATTCATTCTTTCTGTTAACTCTATGTTGCGGAAAAAGAGTCATTTGTGATATATAAAACAGAAGTAAATATCAAAGATTGGCATGGTTATTTTTTATTTACATCCGATGCAACTGAAGTATAAAGAGTTCTTTTGACAGAATTCAGTATACTGAAAGTCCAACAAAAGAAGTCCAGTACAATGAATTCACACAATGTCTTCTCTCCATGCATGACTGGACGGGAACTATAAAAGCCGACGTCCTCTCCAAGAGCTTCACACCACGCCCAGCCACCCTCCAGCATGATCGATCTCAAGACACTCCTCGTTCTCCTCTGTTTAGGTGAGCATGGCGACGAGTACACCGGCGCACGGGAGTATATGCATCTAAATAAAGATCTTACTATTTTGATATATAGTGTTGGATTAGGTTTTGTTTGTTGATAAAAATTATGTATTATATTCACAGGAGTGGCTATCGCCGAGGAAGGCAAAGAGGAGTCCGTTCGCGTAAGTACTTGAACAATTAAACAATTGCAAAATACAACGATTACAAAAGGTAAATATTTCTCTTCGATACAGTATTCACTTTAGCATCGGCTTCCTATTATAAACTTTCTTTACTTTTTAGTAAACTTTCATCGTGACGTATACTTTTTATAGGCTAAGAGATGACGATTTTCTTATAGGACACCTAAAAAAAATCAAATAAAAAATTAGGCATGTATACGTCTACCTCTTCATCTCGGCGATTCAAAACAGCAATACTGAACTTCATCTGATTTTAGCAACGATCACTTGACCGTTCCTGCGACAACCAGTTACAGTTCAGTGGCAAGTGTTTTAGTTGACCAAACGTTTAGTAAGTCAGTATTCAGGACATTTTTGCAACAACTTTTACTATATATTTAAAGTAAGAGCACAATCAAGATAGTCTTCAAGTTAAATACGTCAGATCCTATAGTTGAATAATACTGTGATGCGTTTCATGAAATTTAAGTGAAGCATTATGAATGTTTCAGCCAGTTCACAAGCCGCCAACTCAAATGTCATTGTAATTAGAAATAATTTGGGTTCGTATCATAATTCCCAGCCACTTTACTTGACAATTTAGAAACACTATGAGATGAAAGTAAGATAAATAAAATATAATCAGAGGGATTAGTTTTTCATAAGGAGCAATTCAATTCTTGAAGAGAAAAAAATCTTTGTTAATTTTTACAAGAAAACATGAGTAAAGGTTGCACAGGGCAGTTATTTGTATTTGTAATATATTACAGCACATTTAATAATGTACTTTCACTTCTTTCTTCTGTATATGTATTCACCCAATCCTCCCCTTCCTGCAGGAGAAGCGTGGGTATGGCGGCGGTGGGTACGGTGGTAGTGGATACCAGAGTGGCGGCAGTGGGTACCTGGTGGTAGGTGCTGGTGGTGGCGCGGGACATGGAGCTTTCGCCTCTGAGGTTGCTAACCAAGCTGCTAATCAGGCTACAGCTGCAGCCGCAGGTCAAGCTGGGGCCGCAATTGCTGCATACGGTAACGCAGCTAGTCAAGCAGCCTCTGCTTCGTCAGCCGCATCTCAGACAGCTCACGCTGCTGCAGCCAGCAAGCTCAACCAAGCGGCACAGGTCACACAGGCTGCACAGGGAGCTCAGGCTGCAGCCTTCTCAGAAGCCGCCAAGCTGCGGCAGACCCAAGCTGCCGAGCAAGAGGCCAAGAACACATATAATGCGGCAGTGGCGACAGCCAATGACATCGATGCGGCCCATGCCGAGGCTCAGGCTGTAGTCACCCAGACCTTCCAGGCTCTGCAGCACGCCAGAGCTGTCCGCACCTCTCAGGCAGCCATGGCCTGGGAGGCTCAGCAGGCCTCCAACTCTCTCAACCAGCAACAGAACTTGTCAGTAAACGACCTGCAGGGGGCACAGGCAGCTGCTGCACAGGCTACAGCTGCATCTTCCAAGGCTCTCCACAGGGCTAAAAATAGTGGCGGATACAGCGGCGGAGGCTACGGTCATTAAGTCATTAACTTGTATCTGTACAGATAAATGCAGCAAAACCTCTCAAGCCCAGACAGTGTCCAGATGAACGTTGTTCTCTTATGATTTATAAACTGATGACAGTTCTTTATTTCCTGCCACTAAGATATAGGGAAACACATCCAAGCTGCCACTATAACGACAATCTTCATGATGATAAATATGGAAACAATGACGAGCGACAATTTTCTTTACCTGAGAACAATCTAACACTAAATATCTAGCCAGTAAGCCACACACACAGTATGAGACTAAATAACATACAAGTTTAGAGGTTCCCTGTATTGTACATACCAAGCGTCAATCACTTTACACCACTTAACTAATTTCCTTGATCAATAAATATCCAAATGAGAACAGCCTTTGATTCCTGAGAAAATAAATTTCTTTGTTAAATATCAGAATGTCGGAATTGATTTTGTATTTCAAATGGACACATGCATCTTGTTGGAGGATGAAGAAGGCCATTTACCCAACTTCACCCGTATGACAGTCTGTTTACATCAAGGAAGTGTTATACTACAAAATACTTTCACATGAGATAATTTTTTTCTTTAATACATTTTCACCATATAAATATGGTTCAAGAAGTGCAATATGTCCGTCCGGGGGAAGAAAAAGTATTGCTGTATGTTGTAAAGAGGACAATTGCTATATCTCTGTTATCATTATTCCTCTCCTATTGTCGTGGGGAGCATAATTCTCAGACAGCGGAGGAAAGAGATGGGAGTGTCAGTCTGGAGAGGACAAATGTGGGAACCAATAGAAAATGGCGAATAGAAATTAATTAGAAATATCCTCATATACTTTCTTGTTAAGACCCTAAAGATTCAGTCATATATATAGTGATTATTCTCAGTTCCTTCCCATTATCCTTTCACAGTTCAGTAGGTTAAACTAATTTTCTGGATATCTAAAAAAACACCAATAGATTAAACCATATATGATAAAAAATGATTATTAATACAAGAAATAAGCACAGTTAACATTAAACAAACAATTCAAACACAAAGGAACCCAAATCTTACGCTAACACACACACACACACACCCACTGGAATTGTACCGACCCACATTACCACTGGACTAAAGCGATGGGGCATAGGCGAGCACATCTCCTATCAGTATAGTACAACAAGTCTTTACGTTACAAGTATTTTTCAGTTTAAACATCAAATGGAAATTATTCACGAACATTAAAGATATTACTATACATTATCACTCCGTCAACAGCTGCAGAATCTCTCTCTATAGACGTCTTAAATAATATATAAATCGCTAAGGCAACAATATCTAGTGAACATATTTACTATGATATACAAAACTCCTGCATTGCTGCTGTTAACTGATGTGGAAACCAGGGTCGGGATTTACACACATAGTTGTATGATGACTTTCTTGTCACTGGAATATTATAATGCACCTAACCTAACCTAACCTAACCTAACATATCCTAACCTAGTTTAACCTGATCTAACCTAACCTAACCTAACCTAACCTGACCTAACCAAACCTAACCTAACCAAACATATCCTAACCTAATTTAACCTGATCTAACATACCACAAACCACAAAAAGAACACTGATTGGAGGTTTGGGATTAAGACGGGGTTGGGGTAGAGGTTGGGGTGGGAGGTGGGGAAGAGAAAGTCGACGGTCATTTTAATAATTATGTCAAAATGATGTCACAGACAACACGGCGCGTAAAGGTCTGAAATTATAATCAGATAATCTGAAACTTCAATAAGTAATTAACCGGGAACACTATACCGAAGTAATGTGTGGGTGTTCTTATTCAATAACCACAAAATAACAAGCCTCAGTTTTTTAAGTTTTTTTTTTATAAAAGTTTTATATGATTTTTGTTCATAGAAAAGTATTGTCATTTCTATATGAGTACCGTTAAATTAAAACCATGATATCACAAAGATTACATCTGTATACTAGTCTTGGACATTCTTTCACAATGGAAACGTGGATAAGATAAATCTCGATAAAACCAGACAGGAAAAGGGAAAGACTGTAGTACTGGTGCTTCAGTGTTTCCCTTTTCCTGTGTGGTCATTATAGATCTAAAACACAGCCCGATACGAGGAATATAGTTATTTCTCTCAATATATCATGCCCCTATCATTTTCTTTTCAAATATAATGTAGTTATGCAACTTAACAAACATAAACTAGCTTTTATAGTCATAGTTAGGAAACGTAACTACAGATCTTATACTACAGTATTTACCGGTATAAATTCTAAACCCTTACAGGTAGGCCAGGTAAGTTCAACACTGCCACATTTCCTAATCATCTATTCAAGTCGTCAGAAAAAGCACTTTCCCTTGTATTGAAAACCCAACTAGGTGCTCTGAATAGTCGCCGTTCGCACTCCCTTCCGCTGCTTGCCTCTCAGGCGACCAAACTTGCCCTCACACATGGTATTAGGAGACACACTTTTAGAGATAATGTTAAATTTCTACAACACTTCTGGTCCATCGACTCAAAGACACAAACATGGCGGACGAAATTAACTGAAAAAACAATGAATCCGGATTTACTTAATAAATTCACATTCTCTGGTAATTGGTTTTCTTCATGGTTATAGAAGGACATTCAGAGTTTTAGAAAATTGTCTTGCACTTGGTAAATCAGATTAATAAAGCAGAGCTGTTTCTTGCTGTCCAGTACACACTCAACCAGCCCCTCTAAACATCTTCTGTGTCAACTAAGGTAAATAGGAAAATCCATGAAAATTTTTATGGGCAGTTTAATGTCTCCAGGAAAGGTCGAAAATAATATAATGATAATTACTGTATATAGCTAAGCAATAATTGCATCCATATGAGACTGCGTAGGCGTATAAAAAAATAGAGTACTGGAGCGGATGATTGATAAGGTAAGTGGTATCCTGACTGGTGGGTGGCAGAGGTTGCGGAAGGAGGCTGATGATTCACTGTGTTTCTTTGGGTGAAAGTGACAGCAAGGTTCAACCACTACACTCACTTGTGTTGATAACTGTTACCTGCATCACCCATTGAAACACATCTCACAAATATTCTTCAGTGATATACAAATAAGGATGTGACTTTTACTACTCAGGTATTAGGCTTTAGCACCCAGGAAAATCAGGGGCGAGAGTGGCAATAATGTAGGACTAAACTAAAGCATGAGAGGGATGCCGTGTAACGCGTGGCTGACTCACCGCCTGGCTATATAAAGAAAGCAACTAGCCGCGGCCGCCACAGAAGGCCCAAACTTTATCCAGAATGGTTACGTTAAAGGCGCTTGTCTTCTTGTTCTGTCTTGGTAAGTTTGAAGCCTCGCGGATATGATCTATCATGAAACACTATTTTACCCTTTTGTTCGTCGGCCTTACTACCATTACGGGATGATGGCTAAATAAGTAGTTCTAACACTTCTCTCTTAACTTCTTGTACAAATCTAATCTACATAGATGCTCTTATTATTTAGATACTTAAGTCAGTGTCTTATCAGCTCGGGTGTTCGACCAATCAAACCCCAGCCAGTAATACTACCCTCAAAATTATCTCCTTAAGTATATATTTATCATTTCACTTGCAAGGATACGGTGACTCATGGTGCTGACACACCTTATCCCCCCGCCCCCCCAAGAGTAACATACATGTGTACTTCCAACATGTATCATCTAACACTATATTGTTTACTTTGTAATTAAAACAAACCCGAGTTAAGGACATGGGTTCAACATTGTATTGTATTCACTAGGAGGCCGTGAGTTAATTGTGTTCATTTCGTAAATTTTAATTCACTAATACAGTGTACATCTCTCCTCACAGGTGTGGTGGTGAGCGAGGAGGCAGCCCGGGTGAGCACTATAACATAACCTCAATGATTTTAGATTTCCAGTAGTAGTTAGTAGCAAGATTTTAAAAGATGTAATATAAATATAAATCAACATGAACGTTTCGAGAGAAAAATCGTTTCAAAGAATCTAAACTTATATATTCTTACTTAATATTTACACACTAAAGTGGGCCTCGACTTTCTCCGTGGTTGTTCCGGATAATGATCGAGTTTTGGGTTAATTACACGCCATTACAATGTCACAAGCAGTTGGTTACTAACGCAATATATTATTAATATAAATCAGTTACTTCTTCGAATTTCAGATTTACAGAGTAAGCTTTAAACCGTAACAGTTGAAGTATATTCCTTTATATAACACAGATCTGTATCTCATCCTTAATGCTGCACTACAGGAGAAGCGTGGCGGTGGGGGTTATGGCAGTGCCGGACACGGTCATGGGGGACATGGAGGCGGCGGCTATGGTACTGGCGGTGGCGGCTACCTGATCGTTGGTGCTGGTGGCGGCGGCGGCCATGGACCTAGCGCTGCTGACATCGCCAACCAGGCTGCACATCAAGCCACAGCCGCTGCCACAGGTCTTCCTGGAGCTGCCAACGCAGCCGCAGGAGCCGCAGCTAATCAGGCTGCTGCTGCTTCATCGGCTGCAGCGCAAACAGCTCAAGCTGCTGCAGCCAATCAGCAGTCTCAGGCAGCACAGATCACGACTGCTGCCCAAGGAGCGCAGGCAGCAGCCTTCGCCGAAGGCTCAATGACCTCCCGGACCATAGCAGCCGAGCAGGAAGCCAAGAACACGTACAATCTGGCGGTGCAGGCAGCCAACGATATTGACGCTGCTCACGCCGAGGCTCGAGGCATCGTGGAGGAGACTTACCAGGCCCTGGTGGCTGCCAGAGCTATGAGGGCAGCGCAGGCAGCCATGGCCTGGCAGGCTCAGCAGGCCGCCTACTCACTTAACCAGCAGCAGAATCTGTCCCTCAACGACCTGCAAAAGGCAAATCAAGCAGCTGCCCAGGCCGAGGCAGCAGCAGCTAAGGCACTGGCGAAGGCCAAGAATGGAGGCTACGGATATGGAACACATTAGAAGAGGGATCACTGGCATTAACAGGGTCAGGACAGTTGCAATATGACAGATGATATACTGCAGTATCCACTGACCAGTATTAAAGAACACCTGTCCTAGGGTGTCCGGTAATGTCAAGCGTTTTACGTGTAATTTCGATACATTTCTAATTTTTATGAAAATTCTAAGTGATATGTATATAGTAGCAAAAAGTAGATGAACTTAATGTAAAGTGTAAGTGAATATAATCAGTATTAACCTGAATTTACCAACTTAAGTAGTTTGATTATCTTGAGATGGTGAAGGATGAAAAAAGAGTAAATATTACCATATAGGCATTATTAGGCATAGTTATAGCAATACTAACAAAATGTTGTGGTTATTTAAAAGCTTCTCTGAATAGAGTTTTTTATCTTTTGAAATGCATAAAATTAAGACCATGCAGTTCATAAGTGGTTAAGTTATAATAAAAAATAATAATAATTTTGTTTAATTTCTCAGTTACATCTCACAAGTACATTGCAAGAATCTAGCGAATAATAGTGGCCTCTGTGTAACTGTCCACCATCCCAAATAATACTGTGCCGGACCATATTTGTGCCAGTTTGTTTTTATATTTGGACACAAGAGGTAAGACTTGTCATCATCACAGACTCATATTGTAGGAATTGGCTCTACAAGTAACAGGTCTTCTTCTTGGCGACATCTCGCTAATACAGAGGAACTACAGTAGATTCTCCTGTGAGGTGGTGTCGCCGCACGTAGCCAGTCTCAACACCTCTGGCCAGCACCTACCTAGCCAGAGGACTCAGGAGGCAATACTGAAGAGCTTTGTATGGCATATGAGCTGACAGGTAATTTCTAAGCTGCCTAGATTGGTAAATGTATTGATTATTTCAGTTTTCAGTAGATGCTTAATGTTTTTTTTTTTACTTGAAACCTTTACTAATGCTGTTTTTTTTCAAGGAAAGTTGTGACCTATAGACTGTGGCCGCCGATACAGTACTTCTAATGCAAAGGAGTAAATAGTTATGACGCATTAGGTACAAAAACACGAAAGTAAAAAAAAAAAAAATGAAACGAGGATCAGCGAGATATTTTTATTTGGAATATTTTCAACTTTGCTTGCTACTAAATATTTGTAATAACCAAGAACTGCTGCTGTGATTTAAGGCCTGCCTATAGCTTCTACCTATAGTGGTCGTCTACCATTATTACCTAAGCAGTAGTGTCTTCTTCCGGCAGATAAACAAGTGACTTGTGTCTTGTATTAGGATAAGTCTAATACAACTGGGTTCCATTTACAGCTTAATTTTGATTGATTATCGATTACCTGTAGGATGACAGTACAGTATTTTGGTGAGACGTGTATATCATTACGTATACATTATCCACCAGATGACACCACACACTTGGAAATGCGACTCTTAAACCCCAGGAATCGTTTACTTTTTGCAAATGTCGCCGAACAGTTAATGACACTTCGAGTGAAGTTGTTACACTGTAGTACTTACAATATATGTTTGAATGAGACAATCATCTGTTTCAACGACAAGTTTTTTTCCTACCAAGTAGCTAGGTTTTTTTAATTACCATTTAGCTGAAATTATCTTGATCATTAGGCAAATTGTTCTATTGTTGATTTATCCAAGTTAAAAAGTAGAGATCCTAATTTTCTTTTCATTTTTTTTCTAATGCGGTTGTCCATGCTTTCCCTGTTATGAAGTTACCATGACTTATTTTTTCCCTTTACAGACAGTTCACCTGCCTAGCTGGTCATGATAATTTCCCCAGTTCAGATAACCTATTGCTTTCTCAATGACTAAATGACATATTCTAGCGTTCCTTCCTGAGCTGCTTTGTCCGTGCATGGCTCATGTGCTAGTTTTCCTCACGTAGCTGACGTGTCCACGATAGAGTCAAGTCAATATACTAACATTACAACACTTCAGCGTGCACCTTCAATAGTGGGCGGGCCGCTATTGTGCACGAAGCCAATTGGGTGTTTTCCTTTCACTTTTGTTTTCAGTCAAATTTTCTTTGAGTTTACTCCTGCAAGTCACGTGTATGAAAGGTGAAGCAACGGCCATACCCGAGGTAGTCTTTCTGACCAAAATTTCTTGGAGCTGTAAGACCTTTCCCCCACTAAGAAATTTGGGTCAGAAAGATTACCTCAGGTATGGCTGGAACTCCAACAAAACCTGAACAGTGATACACAACTACCCGGAAAACCTTAATTAATACAGGAGTCTTATTCTATCTCTCGCTCTTAATCTGTCTTAAATGGAAACTTTTTATCTGTTACTGTTTGTTCAAGGGTGCGGCAGCCGAGTGCATATAGCGCTCGTCTTTTGTCTAAAGGAAGCCGGTTCGATTGCAGGGTACCTCCAGACTAGATGCAGTCGAGTACCTAACTTTATGGACTTGAAGGCGACAAGTGTAGTGCCGGTCACACTGCCTCTCTGGGCACCTAGTGCTTTGTATGCAGTGAGCTGTATCCATACTGTCACTAAAGGGCACTTAGGTCTATGGGACCAACTTTTACTCTCTATTCATGTAAGGGCATCCAATCGGGAAAGGAACCACGTGTGACAAATCTCCTGACTATTGAGATCATCCAGCGGGGTCGGTGATCTCCCCCAGTTCGACTAAATGACTTCACTTTCACACAACCCAACATGGCGAGGCTTCTCAGAGTCTTCTTAACTTAAAATTCTTTACTCAGCAGCGGAAACCAAGAACCGTTCTAAAACTCTACTGCTCTGAGACACTTATAATTATAATTTATGTATATTACTCATTTATCATTGTTATCTATTATAAATCGTCTCTAGTTTTTTTGGGGGATTGCTTTGTAATCGCGCGTCACTTTCCCGCCAATTATGACATACGAGTGATAAAAGAGGAAAAATAGGCAGCTTTTGAATAGTGAACTGAAGGTAAAAAATTCTTCCCTCATAAAAATGGCTAAGCAAATCATACAAAAATAGTGTAATTTTGGGCCCCGGCCCCCAGAAGTGGAACCCCCTCATTAGAAGCACATATATTTTTGTTTCTTTACTATTCATGGCTATGTTTTTTGAGAGCAAAAATTGGAAATGTTTAAGAATATAGCTTTGAAAATACTCAAGGGTGTTTAAATTGGTGGGATGGAGGCTGCGGGCCTGTGCATGATCACAGTTTTAACGTATATTATTATTATTATTATTATTATTATTATTATTATTATTATTATTATTATTATTATTATTGTTGTTGTTATTATTTGCATATGCCCTTAATTTTAGCCAAGGACGGACATAGGCTCTGAGCTGTCGGGGTGTTGTGGCTGCACTCAATTTGGTTAACTAATTTATTTGACCAATAAACAAACTCGGGCAACGCCGAGTACCCCTATAACATATACTGTGCTCATGTCATAGTTTGTATATGATACCTACCTGCCACGGTGTGCTTCTGGCCATCACTAGGATCTGGATAATTATGCATTTGCATATGTGCATATGCAAATGCATATTTAAGCCATTTTTGAGCTAAAGTGCATATTCATATTTTTTTGTTTTATAGGGCATATATTTGGAAAATTCCAAAATATTATAAAACATTCTTCAACCTCAAGGGTCAAAAAATTCGCGAGCATAACAGCAACGCTGGGGCAGAAATTACTGATATTTGAAATATAATGAATGTCCATTTTGTTGCACTAATGCAAAATCGAAAATGCGCGATTTTGTTTTAGCGTCATAATATCCAAAAGGAACATACTTAAATGACGTTTATATAGGTCAACATTAGGCTGTGGTTAGCTAGGCCGTGATTGGCTGGTCAGTGGACATGAACTGTACGTGATGGGTTCGTGTTCAGCCAGGCAAGGTATGGATGCACGGGCTCCCTCGGCTCCTGACACTCTTTTGTTCTTCTGTTTTCTTAAAAGGAAAATACTTTTTCAGTATTGTTTAATAAATTACTTTATGTCAGTATATTGTTTTTTGTATTTAATCCTTCTTTAAAAAATCCTACTTCGGCGACATCCTGTCTGGGAAAGTAAATTTACTGAGAAAATGTACAGACAAGGAGTTATTAACTTAGTAGTTATTATTTATTAACAAATTTTAAAGTGCATATTTAAGTGCATATTGTCTCAGTTTTTACTGCATATTTGCATGCACATTTAGCCATTTTTAAATGCATAATTATCCTAAGCCTAGCCATCACACTTTAAAGTGCATAACACACACACACACAAAATGAAATCCACTGGTAGATTTATTATGCAATGGAGCAGAAAACAACATTTGAGGAGAATATAAAATATATTTTTATTCTTGCTTGAAGAAAGGAATTTCAACAACTTGAAATTGTCCTGTTCATATTTCAACGAATGGATAAGTACAGAAATTAGAATGATAAAAAATATGTATTTATTGCAAATGGTATTAATGACTGAAATTCGATTATAATGGCTGTATTTTTCGATCAGTGATGGTCAGATTCCGTTGATGACATGAATAAGGATTAGAGTACAGTATCACATGTGTTGTGGTTAGGCACCAATATTAAGTTGTTAACTATTGTATAAACAATTATTATTATTATTATTATTTTATCTTTAGCAGTGCTAGTCGCTCTAAACTTAAGTTTATCGCTGACTGACGGAAGAAAATGGTGACACTGACAGAAATGTTGATTTCTTCACTGGCACTTCCGAGCAACTCGCATTAATTTTCAGATGTTTTATCAATTTACAATTTAATTTATCATGAATGTATTTAGTTGTGCAAAAATAAAAATTATTTACAGTAGAATATTATTTCTTGTTTTGGTTTATTCAAAACTGATAACTACTTCATATTTAGCATGTTTATTGATCGCAAAATATATACATGTAAGGTCATCCATGAGGGATAACCATGTGTTACAGCCACCACACATCAGCCTCGCCACTCTTCACTCACTTTACTATACAGGGACGCACATTTCCTCTTCACAAGTTTTCAAATGTCTGGAAAATCTAGAGAATAAAAAAGAAACAATAGACACGCCCTTAGTGGCCGTAGCCACCTCCATAACCGCCTCCGTATCCGCCGCCGGTGCCCTTTGCCTTAGCTAAAGCCTTGGCTGCTGCTGCTGCGGCTTGATCTGCTGCTCCCTGTGCGGATTGCAGGTCACTGATGACAACGGCCTGCTGTTGGTGGAGGGAGGCAGCGGCCTGTTGAGCCTGCCAGGCCATGGCAGCCTGTGCAGCCCTTACGGCTCTGGAAGCCTGCAGAGCATTGAAAGCCTGGGCGACGACTGTCCGGGCCTCCTGACGGGCGGCGGCCAGATCGTTGGCCACAGCCACGGCCAGGTTGTAAGTGTTCTCCGCTGCCTGTTCAGCAGCGAAGGCTTGTCCGGACAGTGAGGACTCGGCAAAGGCTGCAGCCTGCGCTCCCTGAGCAGCCTGTGTTAGCTGTGCTGCCTGTGACTGCTTTTGGGCAGCTGCAGCCTGAGCTGTTTGAGCTGCAGCTGATGCAACAGCAGCAGCCTGGTTAGCAGCGCCTCGTGCAGCTGAACTAGAGGCTCCATGAAGACCTGCAGCAGCGGCGGAAGCTTGAGCAGCAGCCTGGTTTGCGATGTCGGCAGCGGTGGGTCCATGGCCGCCGCCGCCACCAGAACCAACAATTAGGTATCCGCCGCCGCCACCGTAACCGCCGCCGTGGCCGCCTGTGAAGGGTCTGTTAAACCCTCGCTTTTCCTACAAAGAATATATTATCGAGCTGTAGGAAACACTGTTCTGCATACACAATAACATTGTTTTACTCAGGTTGGTATATATCTCTGACGGGCAGTATGTGAGTTGTTGGTAGGTTTATTTATTAACATCTATCACAGGGAAGCAGGAATTTAGTTTAATTTAACTTGTCATAACACTGTCTGGAACTAATCCTCAATGTTAGGAAGGTGTTTTTTTTAAATATAGATAGCCTGATTCATAAACTCAATATCCCTCTAAACTGAACTGTTACGTGTTATTACAACCTTTTATAACATTTAGGAACCACTTGTTTTTATACGGTAGTTAACGAAAAGAAAATATGTAATATAATGAAACACATTTTGCTTTTAGTTTTGATCAGCGGTTGTGTTTTACATTAAAGGTTACGGAGATTGTATTGACAATGAGGTTTTTCAGTATAAGGAAGATTCAATTAGAATTTTATTAAATATAGTTTTATCAATGAAGAAAATTAAGCGTTTTTACTGTAAAAGTTGTAAGAATACAACGTTTATTTTCTGAAGTTGCGTTTGGACATATTGTATTTACCGTTATATCGATAACAAGTCGTTGCAACAACTATGACACCGGATGTATGGTGTATGAATCTGAAGACTACTGCTATGCAAAATTATGCTGTATTTCAGATTCATAATAAACTAGACAAGGTGTTACCGCAATTTGACTTATCCAGCTACCATGGCGCCAGAGGTGTAGCATAAACTTTTCTTTACTTTGAGTGCAGGAGTTAGAAATTCAAGAAGACATTACCTATTATATTGTTGAAGAGAGATCTTATGACCGAGGAAATATCTCACGATTACTGTGGTTACTATAAGGGAAAATATTTTTTATCTTTTATTTGAAAAGTCATCGCGGTTACTATCTGCAAGAGCAATAGGTATTTTTTTATGTAAATCTGCAGCTTTAATATGTTAAAAACGTGAAATAAATTCTAAATTATACTTAAGAGGATGGAAAAGAAAACTCTAGAACAACATACTAGTTTCTCTTGTTGAGAACCAAAGAATCTATTAAAGAAAACTTACGCACACGCACATAAAGTCTTTGCAATGGGTAACTTATCCATGATAGGTATCACTTGCCAATATCAGGTTAAGAGCACATTTTATGTTGTAAAGTGTTTAAAATAATGTTTTTTCGCCATTATAATTATAATCTAATGCTTAAAATTAATTGGTGTACCTAACTCCTGTGGTTAAGGTCCAGGGGCGGATCCAGGAATATCAAAAGGGAGTCAAAGGATTTGCGGGCGAGCCCACCCAGCGTTATTTTTGGGGAATTTGAGGCCATTTTGAAGCCACGTGCACTTGATATTAGGAGATATTCTGAGGTCAATAGTAATTACATTTTACTATTCAAAATTGCCTGAGTACAATACTGCATTAAGGAAAAGTATTGGGATTTTCTGATGAAAAGGGGAGTCCGGACCCCCAGGAACCCCCTGGATCCGCCCGTGTTATGATAATAGTTTTATTGCTAATATCGTTCAGTAATATGTTACCTGCCTATGCACTCGGCACTTGGTATTTGTCCACTTCAAGATCATTTACGAATCATTTCACATGAACATGTAATATCAGACTGCGTGAGTAGCATCACCCATATTTCACAGGGAAATAAGCTATGATTTTTTTTTCACTGACTAATAAATGTATATTCGAAAGGGTCAGTGTGAATATCTGTGTTGTTGTGCGCATGTCCCCAAATTTACCAAACTTAAAATATATTATAATTATTATTAGTTTTTGCCGGTAAGGTTGATAGTGCGTGGATATTTTTTACATCTGATAGCCAAATATAGGCCTACATTGTTTGCAGTTGACACACACACACATATATATATATATATATATATATATATATATATATATATATATATATATATATGACATTCTTAAAATGTCATTATGGCTGAAATGATGGTGAAATATTGAAATTATCCAAAGTGTGTAAAAAAAATTATTTGTAATGTATTAATTATCGGGCACATTTCTGCGAAAAAAGGAGTACATCTGGTAGAGTGTAATGTGCAGCAATATGTAGTACAGTAATTTTCACTTTACTTAAAAGGGACGCTCAAGTACTCACGCGCACTGCTTCTTCCTCGCCAACCGCAAATCCTGTTTAGAAAAATTTAAATCACTGTTCACACGAGAAAAAATTGATAAATGGATATATTTATTTGTTCATCAACCCTGCCGAGTTAAAACTTTTTGATTTTATTGAAGAAATTAAGACTGAGCGGTATTTAAAGCCCCTGGCCGTTGGAACAAATCAATATCAAAACAGCGGGCGAGTGTTAAGCATATAAAAATGAAAGTGAATTTTAGATTGTATCGTTGAAACTAAGACCTTATGACAGTGCATGATTAATAAAAAAAAAAAAGCATGGTTTATTTTTTACAAATATGTATATGAAATAATAAAAAATGCAATCTGGACATCTAGTTTGGAATGAAATCACGTAGACAGACCTATGAACAGGAGAGCAATAAGAGTCTTCAGGGCAGCCATGTTGGTGGGAGGGTGGGTCCAGTGTGACGTGATTTCAGTGTGTGTCGCTTTTATAGTGGCCTTTCCTCGTATGGCATGACGACGATGTAGACCCGGCTGTGTGACGGCATAAAGGCACCCAACACTGGCTATTGTACCACATCCGCGCTCCACAATGCTGGGAGAATGCTCACCTGTTTTTATTCATTTAACCGATCTGCTGAAAAATATTCTGGGTAGAACAAACTAGCTAGCAAGCAGAGCTCAGCCAGCAATAGAGACCTGAAGATGTCCGTAACTGAATACTCGCAAGTGATGGTAGGCCTGCGGGTTTATTTTTAACATTAACATGTCAACTTGCACATTGTTTTTTGTTTCATTGCGTAATGGTGAAGCTCTAAACTGCTGAGAACTAAATCTTTCAATCCATACGTGCTGCTAGGAGCTACGGGGCCAACAGTAGCCCACTGAACACCTTGACTCATATCAACACATTAAACATGAAATGGGACTTGCATGAATTACCACCCTGAACTAAAGATAATCCCTGACATCAACAGCGCCTGCTTTGTGCGAAATAGCAAGGAGCATTGATTGTCTTATTTTTTTATATATGTTATTACTGCGCTTTAGTAACTAAGATCTTTAAGCGAATAACAAAGTAATTACACTAACTCATCAACAACGAAAAATTATGCAAGATCTCCGGGTAGAAAACAGCAGCACTGCACTGTTATATGGGCTATTGTTAAGGCTGCTTGTGTTGTAAAATAATTGATTGAGAACAGTCATCAGTAAATTCTGCTGTTAGGGAGCCTGTTAACGGACTGAAGATAAAACACACATTGTGTATATTTTAGTTACTCATGACTGGTTCCATAACAGATTAGAAATGCCAGTAAATCTAAATAAAAAAATATTAGTAAATTTTGCATCGCATCCCCATGACTATTTTGTGTGTGTGTGTGTGTGTGTGTGTGTGTGTGTGTGTGTGTGTGTGTGTGTGTACTTATAATTTCGGTTTAAGGTCTGAATTAAAAACTGATTGGGTTTTAATGAACTTTTTTTTTTTACTCCTTTAAGCATGCTATACGCTCTACTGTTATAGGCAACTTGTCAGTCGGCCTATATATATATATATATATATATATATATATATATATATATATATATATATATATATATATATATATATATATATATATATCTGTGTGTGTGAGTACAGCTGTGTGAGACAATACATATGGCTGCACACTTTGTTATTCACACCTGCGTGAGGGGTATTCAAGCACATTTGTGTGTTCAGTTCTATACGTGGGAATTGACTTAGCTACTGAGTGTAAAAATATTGATACAATAAACTATCCGCTGTCCGCTGTATGTAGCCAAATTCAAAATTCAAATTCAAGCTATCACATACAGTACACACCCACAAAAAAAATCATTAGACAGGTGAATAAACTATAAGTATTTTATATGGAACACAAATATAACTTCCAAAATCACTCTCATATACTTCCTCACCTCAGCCTGACGAATAGTGCAAAGGTAATGTTCTGTCAGGGCTCAGGTCGAGGCTCATCCGTACTGATCATCCAAATGTGTGTGTGTGGTGTTGTGTGTGGTCAAAATGGCGGGAATCCACTTTTGAATTTTGCCACACACAGCGGCTATCATGCTGTTCACCCTATATTCATCCTGTGAGCGGTAGCGCAAAAGGATTAAAGGGTAAAGGTCGCAAAGGGTGCGTGTCTGAGAGACCTATATAATATACATATATATATATATATATATATATATATATATATATATATATATATATATATATATATATATATATATATATATATATATATATATATATATATAATATATTTGTAACCGGTCGGAATTACTGGACTTTAATTTCTCACTTGACTTGGGGTTTATTAAAGATTATTAGATGGTAATTGCAGTGGAAGCGCCCCTTTGAGAGAAATCCCGAACCAGCACAAGAACAATTAAATTTACTAAACAAAATGAATTGTCCGTGACCCGTGGAAGGATAGCGTCTGTGACTGGGATGACTAAAACAATAGGAAATCAATAACTCTACAATGAATAGGCCTTAAGGGCACTCAGCAAAATGATATCCAGCACTGAGAAAATGGTATAAAAAAATAGAACTTATTAACTCCACCCTGAGTAGGCCTTCAGGGCACTCAGCAAAATTATATTACCCCAACAGATACACACCTCCTGACCTAACTTAAACACTACTCTGGGGAACAAGGGTTATACCTGAGACTGAGATTATAAGGAAATATTAAATGCACACAGCATACATTAGTAACTGAAAAAATAGTATTAAGTACACACAAAAATATTATCACTATTATTAAGAAGTTGCTGAGTCCACCAATACCCGTGAACCATGCTTCCTAACCTAACACATAGATTCCACCTGCACTCCGTAGTTTTTTAAGGCACAACCAACAGGCACCCGTAGTTTAAGGCCCAAATCAGCCTTTCTCAACCTTGGAAATGTACCTCTAAGGTCCACTGGACTCTTGGTCCCAGTGTGTGACCCTGTATCACTCAGCTGGCTTCACTTTACCCCCAGTACATCCATGAAATGGAAGGGAGTGAGCCACTCAGACCTTGTACAGTTGAGAGAAGCTTTAGCTTCCCGATAGTGAAAGGTTTTCACTAAGCTGCTTGAAGATATGTGGTATTGTGAGCCGAGGTAGAGGAGAGTTGATGACCCCAAACGATCGTCACGTCGTTAGTTGGGCACCTAGACAGCTGGGTTCACTCCAACTCTCACCATACTCAACAGGTGGCTCAAACCCAGGTCAATGGACGGTCATACAGCTCGCTTCACCACTCCTGTCTCATACCGCCAGTGGACGTTATCATACCGCGTGGGGTCTACAGAACCCTGAAAAACCCGGGCTGTTAGCTATTGTCTCACATCACCGCTTGTTCCTACCGCCCTATCAAGCTTTGTCTGAGATTGAATACAACTTACTTGTTAATACTGATGTTAAATAAACAAAGGAACCAGGTCACGCGATCCGTCTCTCCTGGGTACAGCACAGAGGTGGTCCTTGACCTCTATCACAGCTCCTCAGCCACGCTTGCCCACTGGTTCACGCTTTCCAGGAGTGACTTATTTACCAGACGATTAACAGCTTAATTAGGACGTACACAACATTTTCAGAATGGGAAACGATCTATAATTATTTTCAATTTAATAACTGATATTTAATTTCATGATTTGAGTCCCTATTAACTCGGTAAATTACATTTAATATCATATAGGCCTAGTTCCACAACCTTTCCCTACATGCGGGGAGCGCTGTCTTCCCTCAGACGACCTTGAACTCAGCTTATGGCGCCGTGAACCTCTAATGGGGACTACCCATATCACGGGATCCTCGTGTTTCGAAGCCGGATTTGGTAAAACGTTACTCTGACCACCTACGTGATACGGGTAGTCCCCATTAGAGGTTCACGGCGCCATAAGCTCGTTGAACAGGCTTTGTGTGAAATATAACAGAGTCTAGGACTGCTTTTAGTATTCTGGTGGTCCAGCGGTTAGTGTTCCCAGGTCACAGTCATGGGCTCGTGGGCCGTGGGTTCGAATCCTGGGGGGTTGAGGTGTTGATTGTATATATATATATATATATATATATATATATATATATATATAATCAACCCGCCAGGATTCGAACCCACAGCCCATGACTGTGACCGGGGAACGCTAACCGCTGATTGTATGTAGAAGTCCCCGTGTTTATTGGGCTAATGATATATATATATATATATATAAATATATAAATAAAGGATAAGGGTAAAATTCTTCGTAGCAAGAATTATATTGGTATTGAGCTTATGGCTAGGTGGCTGAGTTACTATTGGTTTGCATTTCAAAATGCTAGTGAAGGTTTAGGCTATTCTTCAACTTTGTTTTTCTTCAGTGCAGCATTTTATGCTGATTACAAGTACTATATGTAATATATATTCTGTGCAAATTAATATTTAGTTAACATATTTATTTTAACATTGGATGCTGTCTCCAATAGAAACCTTAAAACTTACCTAACCTAACTAGTGGATGAAAAAACAACAACAATGTTTCTAATAAAAGAAAACGTGATTACAGTACGTTAATATTCATTTACACAGGAAATATAATGCTGTATTGTCTTAGTCTTAGTGAATTCTCAAAATTCCTGCCGACCTTTTCTAAATATGTAAAGTATATTACATAACGTTGCATACGTCTGAAATACACTGGCTACCTCTGGACTCCTGTTGTTGCTAAAACTAGCTTAGTTGGTTGACTCCTAAATAAAATTAAAAATGTTGTACAAAAGATGCTGCAAAGTATCTTTATATAACAGTTGTAACATTAATATCTCAAAAAAAGGGAAGAGCTGGAATCCCCCGTCAATGAGCTGACTCACGCTCTGCCGTATACAAATGATTTTATAATATCCGACGTCACCTTTTGTTTCGGTATCCTGTTGTGGTAACAATTACTTATAATTAAGTTTATAATTAATGTTAAACCTCAAAGCACCGTATAATATAATTAAATGTATATATTTCGAATTCGTGGACTACAGGGGTGTTATTGGCGTGGGGCTAAGTATGGTGGTGGGGCTGGTTGTGAATGTGGTACTGGTTATGAGTGTGGGATTGGTTGTTAGTATGAGGCTAGTGATAGATGTGGGGCTGGAGATGGGTGTGGACTGTGTGGGGTTGTTATTGGTGTGGGGCTGTTGGTGGTGGGCGTGGTTGATAGTGGCCGTGGACCGTACGGAGGAGGTATTGACGGCCAGAGGGTGTGGCTTGGGATGGTTGCACATGAAGGACTGTTTTCAAGGCTAACGGACCGATGTGTTGTGTAAATAGCAGATATGTTACGTTGGCTCTTGAGAATGTTACCGGGTGTTTTATTGACCCGATGGTTAGTTATTATAATAATAATGTATTACATGAATATGAAAGTCCACACATACATTGTTTATGGAAATACATATACAGGGTGAGATTACTACATCTTTCCTAATTATCAAAAGCTGTTTTGTGTAACATCTGACACCACAGTTTAAACAGTGCACACGGCTACATAACACGCCAGAACACAGTGTTCCTTATCGCTAGAATTATGTATACGCACGTGTACACTGCAGTTGTTTATAAGCCTACGGATGCTTTTAATTGCGTTTAAATCAGCCTAATTTTAGGATTAGGTAACAACGAAATAATAAATATTGGATATGAATAAAACTTTGCTCTACGTAATCATGTACCCAACATATATGTGTAGCCTACTGTATCTTGATTCGTTTTATCGTCCTTCCCACAAGAAGATGAATAGGATAGGATGAAAGAGGCTTCTGTACCGATTGACGATGATATACCGGTAACTGCGAATTTGCGAAATCAATATATTAGATACAAACAGATTATCAAATGTAATTATAAAGTTTCATAAATATTTAGATGTCATCCACATTCACATCAGGTATGTACAGTAGGCTTTACTTGCCATTAAATCATTTGACTACTACTAATATTATTATTATTATTATTATTATTATTATTATTATTATTATTATTATTATTATTATTATTATTATTATTATTATTATTGTTATTATTATTATTACATTTTCGCCCCCCAGGCCCCGATGTGGGTCAATGGCCTGTGCCCGGGTGGGCTAATCCCTGAAAAAAAAATGCCATGGAGTAAGTTGGGAGAGATTAACAGGCAAAGTTTGTATTGACCAACATTTCCAAGTACAGTAATGGTTTTTACTCGCTAGTTAGAAGCCTAATCGTAACTTTAAAATTCCACCTAAATGATAATAACTGTCATAAACAGGAATGTCTTATTCATAAATAAAAGCCCACATAATTTAAGGGGCGTACATTAGTTTTTGTTCAGTTGTATTTTTTATATTAATGAGCAGAACAATATCTTATGCTGTGACTGTTGAGTTCGCCCTGAATAACAAAGTGGGAACGGAAATGACGCATAGTAGCCTTAATCATTATATACCATGAAATGTGAAAATAATAAGTTTAGAGATAAGTGGAGTAAATATCTGTGGGATGAAGTGTAGCAAGAATATTTGAGAATATTATGGTAGAGCTACTCGAACTCATTATTTTACATAGATAAACGTTAGTTAAAGTAAATGAACGTTATTTTTTTAATTATCAGTTATATTGCATATAAAGGTTAATTTGAAGATTAAACTGTTGATTTGGAATTTTACATAAATGTTAGTTTAATTAAGATTCGGTTAAATTATACAAAAACGTTAATTTGTGGAATGTATCACTTGAATTTCATGTGAAAATTAATCAGTGGAATTATTTACTGAAATTTAAACAATCATCATAAGTGTTGATTTTCAAAAGAATTACTACATTTTGTATAAACGGTTAATCATGTTGATTTTGATTTGTAAATGCATTAAATACACACGCTCTCTCTTTATGCCTTGAACGAAACAAGGAAGACCCTCCACCGTGTGCAGGGAGGGTGGTGCTAGGCGTGGTCGCCACCTCCACAAGGACAAGGTGGCAGCATCTTCCCTATATAAACTGCCCACGAGCACACCTAGGCAGGGTACTACCTCGACGCCTCTTACCGACGACATGAATCCTCTGGTGAGATACTAGTGTGGCGTGAACGATGCAATAATCATGTTTTATATTATAGTAAGATTTTTCATGTATATATATATATATATATATATATATATATATATATATATATATATATATATATATATATATATATATATATATATATATATATATATATATATATATAATGCAATTGACTCTTCTCGGGGGAAGTGTACAGTATACGGAGGATAAATAACAGTCCCATCGTATGGATTAACAACAACTTATATTTGTCAACTTTTCGACAACTATCTTGTCGTCATCAAGCCTCCAATATTATTATACTGCAAAGAAAACGAAGCGTTGGCAGCTTTTGTAGAGACGTGAGTGACGGATTTGACGGTTCTTGCAATTTAAGATTCACGAACGTCAATGGTTGTGAATTGAATAGCCAATCCAAAAAGGTGGTCGCTGCTTTGGGCCATCGAGAATGACGTCATCAATGTGGGAGCTCAGAAGCAAGCACATCGACCCAAGGAATCTTAACATCGACCATCTGTCAGTCAATCAGCTCTCTTGACTCGGCCCACTTGACGTCATCTTCCAGGGTCAATGTAGTAGCCTTGTCCTATGAAGTGCTGTTAAAATCTTGAGTTCGTTTGCAACCAAGAGACAGTGTTTCTTGCTAATATTACTTCAGCGCTGCTTGATTTTTCGAAGGATGTAATATTTATCTTTTCCATACTTTAATGAATGGCTATTTTATTAATATACCAATTCTGTATATGACACTTCAGCAACAGGGCAATTTTATCAGGTATGAATGACATTCGAAGTACGGTACATTTTTTTTTATAGAAAACTACTGGTACTTCTCGAGAACTGGTCTTAGTAAAATTAGTAATATTTCAGATTATTTTAATGACTGCTTTTTTGTGGAATATGTAACTCCTGGAATATATGTCAGATTATGGTGTCTCCAGGTGCTGCTTCCCTTCATGGTGGCTGGGTGTGTGGCGGCCCCAACATATGCAGCGGGCACTGTGGCCATCCATGGCGCGCCCCTGGCCGTGCAGCACGAGGTGACGGCTCACGGGCCTGCTGGTGTCCACTTTAAGACAGTAGGCGAGGCAGTGGCCGTGGCTCCTGCCGTGGCAGCCGCCGTGCCCGGGTACGCCGTCCAGGGTGAGCTTCGTCAGGTGACACAGACCTTCCCAGAGCCAGCTCCTGTTGAGGTTAACGTAAAGAGTCTTCCCGTCTTCTCTGCCCCCGCCCCCCTGGCTGTGGCCCACGCCCCCTTGGCTGTGGCTCACGCTCCTCTGGCTGTGGCTCCCACATTAAAGGCCGTCGAGATCCCCGCACATGTGGCTGTGGCCCCTGCCGCTGTGGCTTACTCCAACTTCAACCTCAACATCCCGGCGCCCGCACCCACTGGGGACGCCCCCGCCCCTGAGCTGCTGGTCCAGCGCACGCCCGTCAAGGCTCTTGGTCGCCCCGTTGTCTCCTATACTCCCCAGATCACTGAGGTTCGCCCCGAGCTTAAGATCATCGAGAAGACCTACGACGTTGCCGTACCCAAGCCTGTCTACGAGACCAAGGAAGTCACTCCCATTCACCACCAGTACGTGCCCGAGCCCTACGCCGTGCCCGAGCCCTACGCCGTGCCCCAGCCCTATGCTGTGCCCGCACCCTATGCCCACCCCGTCCACGTACAGCACCACGTCGCTGCTGTTCCTGCTGTTCATCACGTAGGTGCTGTTGCTCATGGTGCTGTCTTCCCCTATGGCGCTGCTCACCTGGCCGGCCCCGTCGTCGCACACTGAGTTTCCCTCGGGAGGCGGCGTCAGCTGACACTACCGGTGATAGTGGCAGAATGACGCTGCAGTCCCGCTGTACAATAAATACACAGACTAATGCATTTGTAAATAATGCAGTGTATGTTGACAGTCAATAAATTTTCATTGTTCTAGATGGCTTAAATCTATATCCAGCACAATAATAACTACCAGGCTCTACAAACACCAAGAAAATGAATATACATTAAGCCTTATAATTAATGAGCAAGAAGTGGGAAGACAATGTATAGTTACATCACGTTGATGTAACACAGTGGTGACTATATTTGTGATTGTTTAGTAGTTATAAATGCTTCTTCGGTAGATATGAATTTAATTCCTAGAATAAATTGAAGCAATGTTATGAAGTCACACACACACACACACACACACACATATACACGCACACACACGTCATGAATTCCTTTTGGAAGTGTATTTATGTAGTAGTAAAATTATCCTATGCCAGCCTCTCTACATTGCATTCTATTACAGATTCACTCACTCATAAACGGAGGTACTGTATGATCTTATACTAAATGAACCAAATTAAATGTCACGGACTCACTGATGGAGAATAAACAAGTGATTTTTACACTGGCCTGACGCATATTGTACGAGTGCAGTGTTACTTATGTTTAGATACAGTGGAAACTATTCCTTGAGTTTTCATAAAATCACTTGAGTTTTGTAACTAGGCAGTTTTGTGCCAGACATATAGGGGACAGCGGAGGGGTGGAGGTGGACAGTCGTAACAAGGATTTGGCATATCATACCTTATATCTCGGCCTATAAGACGGAATTTGAACCTTAAAAAAAATCAGCCAAAAATTAGGGGGTCGTCTTAAGCACCAGGTATAAAATTCTTACCTCTTAAATATTGTGATTTAGCGTGTCAAGAGTGATGATGGAAACATGGTAAACCACTCACAAGGTCCTACCACTAATTATTTTATACTGAAACTTACATTTGGGAAGCTGGATTAAAATTAAGATTACGGTATATTAAAATAATAAAAATGTATTATAAACCTGTGTAACATACCGTAAAAGAACAATATACCCCGGTAATAAACACAGCTGCTATCATCACCCCCCACCCCCCAGCCATTTGCCAGTGACGAGACAAGAAAGGGAAAGTGACCTTCCGTGACAGCTGTGGCTATTTTTTGCCCATCTTTGTGTTAGAGATGGTCAGTATTGCATATCTGTATATTTACTGATCATAATACTTATCTCTTATAAATAATTCATTTAAAATTAATTTTTTTACAAAGAATATTCAGTAAATGACTTGGTTAATTCTTGAAACTACAGACGGTGGTAAATTTAGCATGAGAATGATGAACACGAAGTCACGTCATGGATTCGGAGTTTGGTCATAAATGATCACCATAAATGTCAGGTCAACTTCACCTACCAGGTATAATGGTAGCCTCCCTTTTTTTCGAAACAAGTATATAAATTAAAGAAAATATTTGCAGTGTGCTTAATATATTACAGTATATTATGAATAAATAAATAAATAAACAAATAAATCGGTAAATCAATTTCAAGTAAATGGAAAAAATTTACTCACACCGACATTAGTTCCAGTTAAATAACAGAGGCTTAAGTGAGTCACTAATGTATGTAAGTAGTACGTTGTATATGTGGAATCTTATGATGGATTGGATATACTGTACGCGTTATTTGGAAGACAATATTCTTTTATATGTCGGGATTCAGGAGTTTACCCTATATCATGTATCATGCTCGAGACGATCCAGGACTGTTTCCTAAGTCAACATATAACCGAACCCACACGGGGTAATAATATACTCGATTTAGTTCTGTCGAACAGAGAAAACCTCATTAGCAATGTCGAGGTAGGGAATGAACTTGCAAACAGAGGTCACAAAGAAATTAGATTCCAGTTAGATTTTCAGGGCAGACGTAAGGAAAATTCCACTGAAGTACCAGATTTCAGAAGGGCAAACTTTGACAGTTTAAAGAGGTAGCTGAGAGAGGGGGTGTCGCCCTTGGCCGTGAACCTGACAGATGACTCCGACCTGATAACGAGATCTGAGATTGCCGAGTTCCACGACAATTTAAATAATGAGTTACTTAATGCACAAAGGCAGAACATACCATACAAAAAACTCAGATCAGACAACAATGACCCTAAATGGATAAATAATTATTTAAAGAACATCATTGGCCAAAGGAAGGCTATAGGTAGAAGGATAAAGTGTGGCGAAATTTACCTCCAGGATTATTATAAGATATTGGCGAGTAGGGTTAAAGCCGAGATAAGGAAAGCCAAGAGGAATAATGAGGTAAGGATAGCAAGGGAGGCGAAGACAAACCTCAAAGGATTCTACCAAATGTATCAAACTAAAACACGAGAAAAGATTGGACCAATACGGTCAGATACCGGCGAGCTCACTGATAACGACGGAGAAATGAGCAATAATTTGAATAAATATTTTTCAACAGTTTTCACCACTGAAAATTTAAACATGATACCCGAGGCACCAACTCTATTCAGAGATAGTGAAGAAAACAAATTAAGCGAGATAGTAGTGACTAGTAACGATGTTAGTAAGCAAATAGACAAACTAAAGCCTAATAAGTCACCTGGTCCCGATGAGATATTTGCCAGAGTATTAAAGGAATGTAAGGAAGAGCTAAGTATGCCCTTAGCAAAGTTGTTTAACATGTCCTTAAAAACAGGTGTTTTACCAGAATCCTGGAGGATAGCGAATGTAATACCGATTTTCAAGAAGGGGGATAGATCACTATCCTCTAACTACCGCCCAATCAGTCTAACATCAATAGTAGGCAAATTACTGGAAGCAATCATTTCAAATTCTATACGAAATCACCTGGAGAAGCACGATTGATCAATGACTCCCAGCATGGCTTCACAAGCGTACGTTCTTGTCTAACTAATCTATTAACATTCTTTTCATCAGTTTTCGAATGGGTGGACGAGGGGCACAATTATGATGTGGTATATCTCGACTTTAGCAAAGCCTTCGACAGAGTCCCCCACGAAAGACTAATTAGAAAGGTAGAAGCACATGGCATCAAAGTTAACATCCTTAAATGGATTAGGGCGTGGTTACAGGACAGGAAACAGCCAGTGAGCATTAAAGGCACAAAGTCCCATTGGAGCAACGTCACAAGTGGAGTTCCCCAAGGCTCAGTACTTGGACCATTATTATTTATTATATACATAAACGACATAGATATCGGCATAGACAGCAACATAAGTAAATTTGCTGATGACACTAAAATAGGACGTGTTATTAAATCTGATGAGGACTCTGTAAAACTACAGGAAGATCTAAAAAAAATTTTCGAATGGTCTGAAAAATGGCAGATGAAATTCAACGTGGACAAATGTAAAGTACTCAGTATAGGAGATGTAAACAGGGAAACCAGATACCAGATGAACAACGATGCCATAGAGAAACCCGACTGCGAGAGAGATTTAGGAGTAATGATAAGTAGGAACCTTAAGCCAAGTAAACAATGTGTTTTTGCTCTTAACAAGGCTAATAAAGTACTTGGGTTCATACAAAGGAGTGTTAGTTACAAGACTAGCGAGGTCATCCTAAAACTGTATCTTGCGCTTGTGAGACCACACCTGGATTACGCAGTTCAGTTCTGGTCACCGTATTGCTGGATGGATATAGAATCATTGGAAAGAATTCAGAGGAGAATGACAAGACTAATCCCGGGCATTAGGAACCTTGAGTATAGAGACAGGTTAAAGCATCTTAATTTGCACTCCCTGAGAGACGTAGAGCGAGGGGCGACCTGATAGAGGTGTATAAGTGGAAGTCAGGGCTAAACAAAGGGGACATTACAAAGGTACTCAAACTATCCAACCAGGAGCGAACTCGTAACAATGGTTTTAAATTAGACAAATTTAGATTTAGGCGTGAAATAGGTAAACACTGGTTTGGAAACAGAGTAGTGGATGAATGGAACAAGTTACCAAATATCATCATTAACTCGAATACGCTGAATAGCTTCAAACATAGGTTGGATGCTTATATGAGCAATAGGGGTTGGGTGTAAACGGGACTGCCCAGTAGGGGCCAATAGGCCCGCTGCAGTTTCCTCCATTCTTATGTTCTTATGTTCTTATGCTCAATTATCCTTTGTATTTTATTCCTAATTTAATTAAAGGTGTACACACAGTATATGCTTTATCAGTAATTATTTATATATAATCATGTTTGGGTATTAAAGGATACAACACGGTAAAATAAGCATTGACCCAACGTTTTATTAGGAAATTCATAGATTAACGTAATGTTACGAGAATGCTTCACGGTATAATACGATGTTACATCTGTCCCTTGACAACCGCCTCCCACTGGTCCGCTCTGTGTGGACCTGTTGACTATGGAGGGTCAGGTGGTGCACGTCCCCTAAGTGTCCTAGTGTCCTCAGTGGCCGTAGCCACCGCCATAACCGCCTCCGTATCCGCCGCCGGTGCCCTTAGCCTTAGCTAAAGCCTTGGCTGCTGCTGCTGCGGCTTGATCTGCTGCTCCCTGTGCAGATTGCAGGTCACTGATGACAACGGCCTGCTGTTGGTGGAGGGAGGCAGCGGCTTGTTGAGCCTGCCAGGCCATGGCAGCCTGTGCAGCCCTTACGGCTCTGGAAGCCTGCAGAGCATTGAAAGCCTGGGCGACGACTGTCCGAGCCTCCTGACGGGCGGCGGCCAGATCGTTGGCCACAGCCACGGCCAGGTTGTAAGTGTTCTCCGCTGCCTGTTCAGCAGCGAAGGCCTGTCCGGACAGTGAGGACTCGGCAAAGGCTGCAGCCTGCGCTCCCTGAGCAGCCTGTGTTAGCTGTGCTGCCTGTGACTGCTTTTGGGCAGCTGCAGCCTGAGCTGTTTGAGCTGCAGCTGATGCAACAGCAGCAGCCTGGTTAGCAGCGCCTCGTGCAGCTGAACTAGAGGCTCCATGAAGACCTGCAGCAGCGGCGGAAGCTTGAGCAGCAGCCTGGTTTGCGATGTCGGCAGCGGTGGGTCCATGGCCGCCGCCGCCACCAGAACCAACAATTAGGTATCCGCCGCCGCCTCCGTAACCGCCGCCGTAGCCGCCTGTGAAGGGTCTGTTGAACCCTCGCTTTTCCTAGTGATAGTCATGAGTTTGTATTATAACTGACGTACTATGATATGATGAGTTGTATTATTGAGGTATTTCAGTTACCAGCTGTTAAAGTAATTAGTTAGTTAGACTTACCCTTTGGGCCTCTTCAGCTTCCTTCTCCGGGGTACTGACAGCGACGCCTGCGGAGTAGATAAAACAGTTTAAAAGTTAAATTGATGTACCCTAACAGGATTTTTTTTTTTGCAAATGTGAATCAATTTGCTATTTGGAAGTACGTGAATAATTTGTGACCACTTCCAAGCATACAGTTTTCTATTGCAAGGGAAACTGTATGTCTTTCATAATAGTATCACAGTTTTCAGGTGAATTTTGATAATTTACACTACGGCGATCTTTGAAGCTTAAAATAATCATCACTAATGCGGAAAGTTACTGGCTGACAACGAACGATGTGATTGAAGGTTATGATATACATTACTTACTGTATATAGAACTTATACTGTTATCTACTAGGACAGTTCACGTCATTTGTGGAAACCAGCAAATTAATTTTTACTCAGACCTTATGGAAATTTCTTATACCTTTAGTCACTGAATTTCGGGATCAATCGTTGCTTATGAAATTTTATGCCAAGAGGTAATTTTTGCCTCTGGTGTATGCAGTTGTATCTATTGACTTAAATTACAGCTGTGAGAACACTGCTGAAGGGCGGTACATCGAGAGTGTTAGAACCTATTGAAGTTTTGATATTCGTATATACAAATTTAGTGCTTTTAAGTACAAATTCCTGCAATGGAAACTCATGCAGTTCCGCAATTTTTGTTGGTAAGAGCATACTTATTGATGAAATGTCAGTTTTAGTTTGTATTAATCGGAGAAACACAAGAGTTATTAACAAACATGAACACCCGAGACATGGACGAAGATAAGGGTTCCTACCTAGAGCGAGGCAGATAACCAGAAAAGAGAGGGCGGCGCGCATCTTGCCTTAGGAGTGCACCAAGAGACTGTGATGCCTTGCGTGGAAGCCTTTCGGTTTATATACCCACCAATGTGATGACGTCAACGCTCTCCCTGTGCTGACGCCAACGCTCTCCCTCACTTCATTTCTTCCTGGGAATGGAACAGTATTAGCTAGTTTATAAGACTATATGATTATAAATGCGGTGATTTGGCGTTCTATAGGTTAACGGAGAAAACCTATCTTGATTGTAGTGATGCGTGGTAGGATAGATGCGGCTAAAGAAACATAAGGACAGGTGAATAAGACTGAACTATCAAGCAGTGGTTCGTGGGAAGACCTAAATATTCCCACTTCACGTGAATAAGATTGACGAGATTGACATTGTGCGATAACATTAGTTGATAGAAAAATAAACATAACTATATTGGCTTTTAGGGATGCAGGCTCAGTGAGTTTGGCTGTTAGCTTTTCTAATATGAATATGTTTTGGCGTAGGAACTGACGCAGGAAAAGGTAATGTGAGTTTCAGTTATTTAGTTGTACCAGGTGTTGGTTTTGCGCTTGAAGTTTTAAGTCATTTTGAATTCATTGTTTAAATATTTGAGTAGTACTGTAGTATAACCTAAGGTGAATCATTATCCCGTTAATATTCCCATTTTCGTTCGTATTAACTTGAATATCACTTTGTCATCTAATTTTGTTATTATTAAAATAAATAATTTCTATTGTGATTTCCATTATATGAGATGTTAAACTAGATCTAGAGTTCTCGTGCTATACTTGCCGACGGTTCTCTATTTTGAGTAATGAGGCCTTAGTTGAATAGCATGCATGTATATAAAAAATATTTTATTTCTTATCATCTCACATAATTGTACTTATAAAGGTTAACCTCCTGCAGTCAATAAATGTTTTTTTATGTACTGTGTAGAGTATTGTATAAACACCCAGCATATTTATTTTATAAGTTAACGCCTTTATTAAATGAAATTTATCGTATACTGTATTGTTTTTGTGTTTGTTTTTTTACGTAAACGTATTGGAAGGAACTAATGTTTAATACCTTGCCTTAGAACTGTATTAAAAGCACTCATTCACTGTTTGTAACCAGAAGGGGGTATGCAGAAACGGGTGAAATTATTAACAGTTCCAGATATCGTTAAATATACAAATATACCTGTATTTTATATCGTGCTTTATTTATGTGTTGTTATTTATTATGTACTCATGATTTGTAATAGAGTGCATTCGTCGTCAAATATTTATTAAATAGCTACAAATTTTATAAACAAATCGAAGACCGTGAAAGCTGAATTATTTCCTTGAGAGTGACAGAATTCTACCACAGTTGGGATTTATTTTCTTGCCACCTTCGTATGACTAAAAAAAAAAGCATGTCGATACCATTTTGTTATTATATATTGATATATTTTGATTCGAATGCATGATGTTTATAACTTTCTAGATGACCTGCAAATTTAACTCTAGTGTGTATTGTGAGCAACATGTATCATGGGTTGGGAAGACTATGACAGGGCTTCATGCACTCCCGTAAGATGTAAACACAATGTCAGGCGTGACGCGCATTGTGCCAACTAAACAGGAAACCAAGACTCAGGGTAAAAATGAATACTCTTAAAGAAGCGATTTGTATAGTTCACTTGCCAAGACTTCGAGGCTCTCCTGAATAGCACTGACTGACAAATTAAAAAAAATAATAATAATATACAAAAATACAGTGAATATCACAGCCGTTGAAGGTGGATTAAGATAACTGGATGAGTCTACTGCATTAGCAATCGATAAATAACACAACAGGTAAAAGAAGCTTTGTAGCACCGGGGGTTAAAATTGAGCTGATAGTGATGGATAAAAAATTAAAGCTTAAGTTATGATAGAATTAGAACACATTGTAAAAGCCTTTATTTTCCGAACAGATAAAGGCAGATAAATTTTAATTGTTGACATACCTAAGAGTAATATTTTAAATACTATTACAAGACAGAAAATTGTTCATCAGTTACCTCTTAGAGATTAAAAAATTTCTTACATGCGATAAACTTCATTGAGACATCAGCTAACTATCTACTTACGCACTGAAATTCCCACCTCTCCCGTCCTGTGGGATTCCAATTGTAATGTATGAAATATAATCAGAGTTTCAATTGGATAAGGTTAATATAACTAAGTAGGGGATTAGATACATAAAAGTGTATCTGTGTACAATATTATTTTCTTTTGGACAATGGAACAGCGACCGTTTAGGGATCTGTTGACTTTACATTGTTTTAGACTCTCTTGGTCGGATGGAGAGGGGAATGACGTGACCGATTCTGTATTTGCTTGATCTTCAACCATACCCAAGGTAATTGATTGTTGGAATTATATGTATATTAGTAGGTAGTCATTTGGTACGTTAAAATGTTTGCCAATACGTAGAGTTTATTTTGATATACTTTTTATTTTTTTTTAAATTCGCCACAAAGTTTAATAGGATATGAAACTAGCTTGATTATACAGCACATAGTTTCACAAGTACATTAGTCGTGATTGATTCGCTTAAGAGATCTTTTCCCCATTATTGACAGTGGAAGTGTTTCGGCAATTTCTTCTGGGTTTTGTAGGTAACACAGTAGAGGCTTTGTCTGGTCCAGAAACCCCCCCCCCCCCTCTCACCTAACGCAATACGTCCACATTGTCGCACACTCCCTCACATTGTCACTGTCTCTTCTTGAGATTATAAAGGACCAGATTATGTAAGCGATATAACCAAGATTTCGCCGAGTTTTGTAGGTGATCGGATGAATATTGCTTCAATCATTCAGTACCAATCACTGAGTTTAGAGCTTTATAGTGGCCATTGAAAACCATGAATTGTTTTTATCTCCATCGAGTTATCTCTCTTTACGAAGGAGATCTTGTTTTAGCCCAGAATGTTATATCCTTTGTTAGATTCGGTAAACTATGTACAGTTTTGTTGTTTATCATAGCTATTGGCGTATCCTTCCGTACTCTGATCATATTTTAAGGGTTAAGGTCATAGCTAAAGAAGTTATGTGTGTTTTTACTTCTCTGTGGATGCCTCTGTAGCTGTAAATATAATGAAAATAAACCTCAGAGCATAATGTTACTCATCCTTGTTGCAGCAAAATTTTTGCCTTTGCTCAATGGAGGGGAGCGGGCTTGGCCGGGGAGGAAACTCAGTGGGTCTGTCAGTCAGGAAGGAAGGAAGAAAGGAAGGAAGGAAGGCAGGAAGGAAAGAAGGAAGGAAGGAAATAAGGGCGTTAATAGAGCTGCTAACACATCTAATGACAAACTCATCAACAAAATGAACACAATGTTAAGGAGCAACAACACCTCCTTGTGTAACCGGCTGCCATTGATGAACCACTTTCCTCCATTCACCTAAACTGTGAATCAAATCAGCTGTTTTTTAAGACTAAAACATAAAAGTATTTATCTGGGTTGAAGTAACACCCAAACTCAAGTTGGTTTTAAATATTATTAATCATTTACAACAAAATTACCTGAACGTTAGTAACATTATGAAAAGTTGTTGGAAATATTTTATATATGGGGCTTTTAAACTTGGATTTTCTTTTGAATAATCATTAACATAAATACGAATTCAAATTTTGGATTAATCGTCCGAATAATCCTTAAAATAGGATTACCTTCTGTTAATATGATTACAACGCAATGTACAGTATGTTTACCTATGTCCTGTGATACCAATCTCGCTCCCAAACACAACTCAGGTACCGTACACCATACTTGTCTCTATGTTGTGTTGTTCGAAGGGTGGATTTAGCTGTTCCTCTCAGGGTACTCCGTCTACAATATAATGTTAAATTAAGAATATTGGCAAAATATTTCAATGATGATGTAAATACTTGCTATAAAACACATCTATGGTCTATATATTTTTGTTACTAATGATTGGTTGTTGAAATGATTTGCTTACTATAATAATCACAATCCTCATTTGGTGTGATTTTGTTCACGGAAGCTGTTGATGTGTTAATTTTTGTCACCCGGACTGTAAACACTTTCCTCGTGACGGATCATTTTCTTTACTCAGTGTCTCGCTCATAAACAAAGGATTCACTTTTCCTTTCATTCACAAAGACAGGTCCCATGAGAGACAAACGGACAACTGATAATAGTGCCTGGAGAGTAAAGGAGAATGTTGTTGCCTTAAATTAACTTTATTGGTTGCTTCACTCTAGATGTGAACAGATCCAAACTCCCGACTCTATGTTGACAAATCCCTAAATTTAGCAAACTCTCTGCTTTCCTGTGTAGGTAAATATTAAATCCATAAGCAACGTAACCATACTATTGATTGCCCTCCTCGCTACACTGTACAGGTTGTTGGTAGGTCCATTACCATGTTACCTCTACACCTTTTGGGATCTTGGGTATTTATTGTTTTGTTGTCATCAGAGCCGAAGTGTGAGCCATTTCCTTATCTCTGTGTTGTAATCAGCCATGTTTTCTCCGTGCCAACCAGAACGTGTCATCCTGATTACTGGCTGATGAGTCAGTTTACTGGTGATAGGAATACTTTGAAACAAACAAATAATAACCCAAGTCAGTAAGAAAAAACAAACTATAATGTGACTCAATAAGTGAAATCAAGAGGTCTTTATAGTTTACGTTGTATAAATATGTCGCCAGATGTCACTGTTCGCCAATTTCCTCTTAAGATTAAGGAAAATACACCAGCCAATGCCCAGATGGTATAATGTGACTTGGGGCAGACATCAGCTCCAGGCATACATAGGGCTCGCAGTAACATGCTTCTCTATCATGTCGTCCTAATGCGTCGCTTAAGATAATAGCAAGGCGTTATGTAAGAGGTGTGGGAACAGAGTGTGGTAAGTGTGACAATAGGTGGGTGGTGATGTGTGGCCAGGTGGGTGGTAGTGTGTGTGGCCAGGTGGGTGGTGGTGTGTGGCCAGGTGGGTGGTGGTGTGTGGCCAGGTGGGTGGTAGTGTGTGGCCAGGTGGGTGTGGTGTGTGGCCAGGTGGGTGGTGATGTGTGGCCAGATGGGTGGCGGTGTGTGGCCAGGTGGGTGGTAGTGTGTGGCCAGGTGGGTGGTGGTGTGTGGCCAGGTGGGTGAAGGGATAGTCACTTAACATTAATAGCAGCACACAGGTAAGACCCTCCAGACAATATCCCCAATTTGGATTTTAAAACTACAGAGTTTAATCATGTAAGAACTGATTAATTCCTCATTAAAAAAAAAAGGTTAAATATCTCATAATCCCCTTGTACGTTTAAGTTTGGGTATCAAGAAAAGTAATGTGATATCGGTATGCCTGTTTTATCTTCATAGCCACTGGTGCAAAGAGCTGAATTTCTCATAGACCCCAGCGTAAAGATACTGTAGCTAGTTTGCTGTGGTATGGTTATATGATACAATTACCTCGCATCATTTAGAGCTGAAAAAAGTTCCTCGAATTTTCAGAATTTTGTTTTGTCTCATTTCTCGCAACGCTTACATATGATTATTTTGATAGGGGAAAATTTGTAATAGTACGGCTGCTCCTGATACTACTATTACTACTACTACTACTACTAATAATAATAATAATAATAATAGGCACCGTTTTCATTATTTAGATGTAACCTTAGCTGTAGTGAAATCTTGTAGGGATTCCATACACAATTCGGGACCTCTTAGATTATCTTAAGCAACACCGACTTAAGTGTAGCCTCTGATGCAGTTGTTTAGTTACACCAATTTCCAAAACAATGAGACATTTTTCTACCTTTAGTTCTCAATTAATTTCTGTAAAGGCTGCCTATATATTTACGTCACTATACACTCATCACAACTGGATATAGTTTACATACAACGTGAAAATGAACGACTTGAAGAAAACGAAACAAAAATATATATAACGCCCACAAGGAAGACGTCAGGAGCTGGATTTACTAGTTTGTGAAGTGACGTCAGCTGTGTAACCAATTTATGGAACCAAGTGACGTCAGCTGTGTAACCAATTTATGGAACCAAGTGACGTCAGCTGTGTAACCAATTTATGGAACCAAGTGACGTCAGCTGTGTAACCAATTTATGGAACCAAGTGACGTCAGCTGTGTAACCAATTTATGGAACCAAGTGACGTCAGCTGTGTAACCAATTTATGGAACCAAGTGACGTCAGCTGTGTAACCAATTTATGGAACCAAGTGACGTCAGCTGTGTAACCAATTTATGGAACCAAGTGACGTCAGCTGTGTAACCAATTTATGGAACCAAGTGACGTCAGCTGTGTAACCAATTTATGGAACCAAGTGACGTCAGCTGTGTAACCAATTTATGGAACCAAGTGACGTCAGCTGTGTAACCATTTTAGGGAACCAATTGAAGTCAGCTGTGTAATTAAAGTATGGAAACATTCAGTATTTTTTTTTAAATTTTATTCAAAAGATTTGCAGAAATTTGAAATAATTGCCTTTATTTGCCGCTTAATGATTAATTAGCTGATGAAAAACGATATTCATGAAATAAATGAGTTTATTTAGGCGTAAGTATATGCTTTTAGATATCAGTAATTGGTGATTTATATTATCCGAACTAAACTAAGTTTTAATGCCTTGGATACCGAATACCCGAATACCTTTTGAAACGCCTCCGGACACCATTTACCGTCAACAATGTAAACTTGACAAAAGAAATAAAGGTGAGCCGGTGTGAGTCAGTGGACGGTCTTGGGTATAAATGGCCCCGGTATCGCCCACCGCAGCATCACTTCACCCTGTGCTGGCAAGGAGATCACATCTAAGTCTCAGTCATGCTGTCTTGCAAGTTCTTCCTCGTGGCGCTCTGTCTAGGTATGAGTCCTTCCTGATATTTATATACGGTATATGAAGGCTTTTATACCTATGTGATTAGATTTCATTAAAGGTTTAAGTGATTTTTAACCAATAACTCACTTTTGATGTGGTACCGGGAGTTATTGGAAAGACAAAATTGAGGATTATTTCGTAATTCATTAAAATGAAGTGACAGTAAAACTACGCAATGAAATTCAATTTGAAAATAATAGCTTTCTACAGAATATATGAAACACCTGTAGGTATAATGTTGCAGTATTATCTAATGTTACAAGTATTTAATGGTGTCTTTCAATACCAGTGCCCTTTATAGGTTATTCCTATATAAAGGAACTGATTGCCATACAAACACAGCATTTGTATTTCATTCTTCAAATTAACATTATATTGTTTCACCGGAACAGAAGTCACTTTACGAATACTAGAGATGTATCGATGTGTATCTGTGTCAATTACTGTGTATAAGTTTGGTTCTGATTATTACAGGTGTGGCAGCTGCAGAGGAAACCCCTAGGGTGAGTCTAACTCCTTTGTTGATGCTGAGTTGATTACATCTCAACTTTGTTTTGTCTTGGTGTTTGGAAAATATACAATGAATCTTAAAACAACCAAATGTAACATTTTGTGTCTGATATAAAAATATATATTTGTGAAAGGCTCCTCAAGTTATCCGTGTTATTGTCTTCTACGATAAACTATGTTTATGGATATAATTTCATGTTCTTAAATTCCTTATGAACAGGTTTGAATGACATAACTTGATAATGAGAAGTTCTTTTGCAATATCGGCAGGATAAACGTGGGTTCGCTGGGGGTTACGGCAGCGGTTATGGCGGTGGCGGTGGCGGTGGTGGCGGCGCTTACGGTAACGGAGGCAGCTACCTTGTGGTAGGCGGCTACGGTCACGGAAATCACGGACCCACCGCCGCCGACATCGCCAACCAGGCTGCCTCTCAGGCTACCGCGGCTTTAGCTAGTCTTGGAACTGCAGCTCATTCCGCAGCAGCAGGAGCCGCAGCAGGTGCCGCAGCTGCTTCTGCCGCTGCCTCACAGACAGCTCAGGCTGCCGCAGCCAACAGACACGCTCAGGCCGCACAGATCACGCAGGCAGCACAAGGAGCACAGGCAGCAGCCTTCCAGGAGGCTTCACTGGCTGGTAAGGCCCACAAGGCAGAACAGGCAGCTAAGGTAGCCCACTCCATGGCTCAAGCTCTGCTCAGTAACATGGGCCAGGTCTCTGGTGAGACCAACGCCCTGGCCGGTCAAGCCACCAGCAGTCTGGCTGCCCAGGAGGGCGTCCTTAACTCGCAGAACTCCATGGCGTGGCAGGCGCAACAGGCTGCCAACTCTCTGCGAACACAACAGAATGTGGTCATCAGCGACCTGCAATCCGCTGCAGGTGCCGCCACACAGGCACAAGTCGCAGCGGCCAAAGCTCTCTCTAAGGCAAAAGGGGCTAACAACGGAGGGTTTGGGGGTTATGGAGCAACACATGGATTTGGATATGGTGGAGGATATCACTGAAGTAATAGAAGGAAACGCCTCTAAAGAATCTGAGAAACTATCAGATGCAGATTCGGTGGACCGTGTTAGTAGGAGCAGCAACATGAAGAATGTCAGTAGTAGGGCTTGCAGGGTTTTCTCGTACCAGTTACTCTTGTACACCGCTGCTTTATTACAGTTATTGTACATAACCTCCCTGTAACGAAAATAATGGAGGGTTTAATAATAAAGATATGTATGAAGAAATCATTGTTTCAAACCCACACATTATTTTATTTAGTATAAGCATATATAAATGAGCCCAGTAAAATGCTAGAAAATTATATACCATATATGCTAACGTTATGCTGTGCATCTTCACACATTTTGCTGTAAACGCAATGAAAAACTAGGATTTGGAATTATGAGAATACAATGAACTGAGATGAACATTACATAGCCACACGCACATATAATATATATCATTGTAATATATGTAAATGAAAGCTTCACATAAAACCTAACCTAATCTAACCAAACTTAATCTACTTTCGGCATAATTTTGCTATCTTGTTATAGTAAACGAAGCCTTAAATGAAACAGCAAATTCTACCATATATAAAAAAATATCCATTGAGTTATAGCAATAAATTTTTTTTCCCTATTTGGCAAAAACTTCAGTTGTTTTCTATGGCTTAATTGACCTACAGTACACCGTGAGGATGCTGTTATTGACCTTATTATTGAGTGCAGCTTTAAACACAATAGAAAAATCCTTGAGGAATAATAATACGTGAAATGTCCAGTGAAAAGCACGACTCTGAAGAGGTTGAAGAAAGATCATAATATAATACGAAATAGTTTAAAAAGCTTTGAATCCCACGGTTTTCTTAGATGGCTCTTGGCATTTGCTTTTGTCAGTCGTATTTGAGAGGGAGTAAGGATTCGGGGAGTGAGGTTCGTTTTAGGGCTACGTGTAGGCTATATATTGGCCGCTGTCTATCACGGTGACCTCTTGTTTCATGGAGTATTTCTTCCTTTGATTTTCAGGTGTTAAGTTTACCTGTTTATAGCGATAAGTCGCTCTCTGTGCATGTTAAATTTATATCTCCAGCTTATTCTCATTATCGTCCATGATGTGATAGACCTCTTCTGAAGTTATTATGTCATTCAGGAGATCAGGTAGAATCATTTTATACTCCAACGTCATGCTTTTTATGGTGTAGGAACCTTGTGTTTTTTGCCACATTCAGGGTACTAGCTTCTGAGGGAGGAGGCGAGCGAAGTGAGCCTTTACAGCTGGGGGGTCGGAGGGGGAGGGGGCGTTGTAAACCCCCCCGAAATTATCTTTGAAATCTGATCTATTTGAGGGCCATTTTGAAGCCATATGGTTGCAATGAGTGTCCCTTGAATTTTGGTATATTTTATAATTTTTTAATGAAAATATAGTTAATATGTAATAAAAAACAACTTGCAAACTGCTTCGTCATGATATACTGATCGTCATTATGTGCTTCATCTTCATGTGTAGATGGCTCATATACCATACAATAACATTATTAGGTAATTTATTTACAACATAAATACTAAAATCCAAACTCTGCTGCGAAAGCGCGAGCACATATTATATTATAGCAAGGTGTTTATACTTGGCTTTATGATAATACAAGAGGATTTTTTCCTCCCAAAGTTCTTTGCGTCCTAAATGGGCTGATCTGCCTCTTTTTTTTCACTTCTAGTGGGTACCCTATCCTCTTGTTACTGACTGAAAACCAAAACATATCGAAGAGGACGCTACGTAACTGGCAGGGAAAAGGGGCAGGGGCTCAAGCCCCTCTTGAGCCCTACCTGTGCACGTGTCTGCCCACATTCACCTGTTCACCGTGAACGAGTACGTCATTAGAAAACATATTGATTTCCCATTTATGGGTCTTTTCAATATTTCTTATATCTGTGATTGTTGAAACTTTACGCACTAATGTCCGGAATTTCCGGAGTCGAACATCAAGTTACTGTTATGGTGCCTCAGCAAAGCGATGCAGAGAGGAAATGCTTGCTGCTTACGAGGCTCTTTTCCATCACCTGAAGAGCTCGAGGGAGCCTTCACACACAGGGTATTTCATAAATACCTTCATAAATTAGGGGGTGTATTCCTAAGAGATAAATACAGATAAATGACTACATTACCAAATTGTCACTTCTCAATAGTTTCAGAGTTACAGAACATGACAGGTTTGGTAGAAATGTGATGAAACCAATATGGGGTGTAAATAAAACACCCAATGTTGCTGGTGACAATTAACAATAATAATGCCTTATGATGTGTGCTGGTGTTAACATTTAGAGCAAATGTTCAATGTTCCGCGCTCTTGCCCATGCAGGCTTCAACCCGTCGCACTAGTGAGTGTCCCACACGTTCAAGGACCCCAGGGGTGTTGTGAATGTTTGTCACAATGTCCTGCACACGGCGCCATAATTCCTCACAGTTTGGGGACCACTGTAACATACACCTTGCTTTTTATGTGACCCCACAGGTAGAAAATCAAGGGGATTTATGTCAGGTGACCGTAGGTTTCGTCACATTTCCACCAAACCTGTCATGTGCTGTAAATCAGAAACTATTGAGAAGTGACAATTTGGTAATGTAGTCATTTATCTTCTTAGGAATAGACCCCGTGATTTATGAAAGGTTATTTCCGGAACATTCTGTGTATATATATATATATATATATATATATATATATATACAATCAACACCTCAACCCGCCAGGATTCGAACCCACGGCCCACTAGCCCATGACTGTGACCGGGGAATGCTAACCGCTGGACCACCAGGATACTAAAAGCAGTCCTAGACTTTGTTATATTTCACACAAAGCCTGTTCAACGAGCTTATGGCGCCGTGAACCTCTAATGGGGACTACCCGTATCACTTAGGTGGTCAGAGTAACGTTTTACCAAATCCGGCTTCGAAACACGAGGATCCATATATATTCCTGGTGGTCCAGCGGTTAGCGCGTCACAGTCATGGGCTAGTGGGCCGTGGGTTCGAATCCTGGCCGGTTGAGGTGTTGATTGTATGTAGAAGTCCGCGTGCTATTGGGCTAATGAAATATATATGGATCCTCGTGTTTCGAAGCCGGATTTGGTAAAACGTTACTCTGACCACCTACGTGATACGGGTAGTCCCCATTAGAGGTTCACGGCGCCATAAGCTCGTTGAGCAGGCTTTGTTGTGTTGATTGTATGTAGAAGTCCGCGTGCTATTGGGCTAATGAAATATATATGGATCCTCGTGTTTCGAAGCCGGATTTGGTAAAACGTTACTCTGACCACCTACGTGATACGGGTAGTCCCCATTAGAGGTTCACGGCGCCATAAGCTCGTTGAGCAGGCTTTGTGTGAAATATAACAAAGTCTAGGACTACTTCTAGTATCCTGGTGGTCCAGCGGTTAGCGTTCCCCTGTCAGGTCACAAGGAAAGAAGAAAACACGAAGTTCCCAAGCGCTTTCGTGTAATTCACATCTTCAGGGGTGAGTACAGACTAAGGAGAAGTACAAAACAAGGTGTATATATACAGAGGAGGGTGAGATCAGGTCCACAATGGTCAGGTATTCGGTAATGACCGCAACAGTCGGTAGTCAGGTCAGAGGGTAAGGTGACCCAACCTTCTCACCTGGTTACAAATCTTCTTAATTACAAAATTGTCCAGTTTGTACATGCCATTACTCAAATTCATGTTGACTTCTTCGGTATGTTTAACGAGACTAGATTCTATAATTTTCCTACTCTCAATTTAATTACATGGTAATATTGAGGAGGCATTATCCCAGTCAATGCAATGCTTATTACCCCTCAGATGAACAAACAGAGCATTGGATTCCTGGCCTCTCCTAACACTATATTTATGTTGTTTAAGTCTAGTTACAAGATCTTTACCTGTCTGGCCTAAGTAAAACATATTACATTCCTTGCAAGGAACTTTATAAATGCAACCAATTGTGTTGTTACACGAATTACACGAAAGCGCTTGGGAACTTCGCGTTTTTTTCTTTCCTTGTAGTTATCAGCATATACCTGGATCACGCACAACTACAGTGATTTACTTGCATATATATATATATATATATATATATATATATATATATATATATATATATATATATATATATATATATATATATATATATATATATATGTATATATATATAAATCTGAGCGTCAATCACTTATGCGCATTATATACCTATATCAGCATCAGTAGTCAGTCATTGCATCACTGCTGCCATGACTTGTAGTGTCTCACGCTGGAACTCCAGGAGCCCAAGTTCCTATCATTGCCAACGCCTTTCTTCTGGGAGGCGTGCGGCACGACAATACCTTGTGAGGGGGTGGACCAACAACTCGCCGGTTTAACAATACCCAGAGAAACAAGGGACTTTCATTGGAGCCTTCTGTGTTTCAATAAGCTTGTTGTTGATGACTCAGGACGGGGGTGGGTATATAAGGTGGGAGAAGCAGGCGATGGGAGTCACACTTAGTCGCACCTCTCACCCGCTAACACTTTCCATCATGATGCTCAAGGTTCTCGTGTGTGCCTTCCTCGTGGTTGGTGAGTTCAATGACTGACGAGTTTTACTGAACGTTATCCAGATTAATATTCATATTCAAATTACCTAACATTTTTGTATCATCTTTTGTAAATAAATTGTACAATATATTTAACTAACTATATATTTTAAATTATGTGATCTCTGATACATTACTAAATGGTGATGGTAAAATTACGTTGATTATCAAAAGTTTTATGATACGGAAGCTAAAAGTTTCTCTCTTTCTATACAGGCGTGATGAGCGAGGAAAAGAAGGCGTCTTCCGAGAGGGTAAGTGTTTGTTGTCTTCCTTAATACGGAGGTAAGAGCGTTGATGGACAGTAAGGGTTATGTTAGTGCTGGGGAGTAAAATGGATTACATTATTGCTCAATCATTAGTTTACTTCACCTTAGAGACTGATGTTCAAAATGGATAATTTAATAACATCTCGAATTCTTGTTTTCCTATATCGAACAAGGTATGAGAATTAGGTATATCAAATAACAATATACACTGGAATATGATTTCTACACCAATGCAGATTATAAACCATTTTGTTACATAGCATTGAGCATCATTGCCTGGCTACAGATATTTAGATGTAATAAGAGGAAAGATGACAACGCCACTTTAGTGTATAATAATATGCGAGTTTTAAGTGCTGTATGGGGCCATTAAGTCTGTGGGATTCACTTTCAAAAGACTGATAAAGGAACCCTGAAGACATTAATACATTAACTACATTTTCCTTATTTGCTTATGATATTGATATAGATAAGGTATATAAAATTGACCTATATTATATAATTAATTCCCTTCTCTGGCTATATATCAATTATCTCTCACACGTGCATGGGAGGGATCAGAGATAGAAATGACAGCGAAGCGAGGAAATGGTAGGAAGGAATTATTCGAAATATTTTTAGGGCACTAATGAAGAGGCTAAACAACACTGTGCTCACATTTCTTCAACACGCACACAAATTTAGTAAAGTAAATCCATAAATTCCACATTGATCATAATGGTTTATATCAATTTGCTGTGTATACTAAGTTGACTATAATACTTAAAGAACGACTCGGCTGTACACAATCCACAATCATTCTGCTAGTGTTATCTACCGTGACATCGCTTGACTTCAGTAGTCTTTCTATATAACTTGCTCACGTACCTCCAGTAGTGTTAGCATAAATCCTGCTGCCACCCATAGAAAAGTACTTTTCAATCTCACATTTTTATTAGCTACTAAGAATTTTTAAGTTATGACAGGAAAATTGATTTGGGCTTGAATATTGTAATATCTCTTTGTAAGACGATGTTCCGTAGACTATAGACATTTTTATTTTCTGACACGTACACTTTTTCCAGCGCTAATAACTTGATTTGGACAATGATGACCGTTCACCCTTGTCCACAGAATAATAGCAACTCGAGAACAAAGGCGTCAGATAAACATTGAATCCTTGTCTGTTATCCAGTTATACTACTGTGCACCTGCGATGATTATGGTTATCAGTAAGACTTCTGTAGGATGATAGTTAATTGCTCTCAACTCCTCATCATCATGACCCCTAACTCCTGTCCCCAGGGTAAGCGTGGATTCTCTGGCGGCCATGGAGGCGGCTACGGTGGAGGCCATGGCGGCGGCCACGGAGGTGGCGGTAGCTACCTGGTAGTTGGCGGCGGCGGTGGCGGCGGTCATGGTCCCAGCGCCGCCGATGTCGCCAACGAGGCTGCCAACCAGGCCACTGCAGCTGCCGCAGGTCTAGGAGGTGCAGCTCACGCCGCAGCTGCAGGAGCCGCTGCAGGTGCCGCAGCTGCTGCTAATGCAGCTTCACAGACAGCTCAGGCCGCAGCAGCCAGCAAGCAGTCACAGGCTGCACAGGTGACGCAAGCGGCACAGGGAGCACAGGCCGCAGCCTTCGCTGAAGGCTCTCTCGCCTCTAAGGCCAACATCGCCTATCAGGCGGCCAAGATAACAGCTTCCATGGCCCATGGCCTGGCCGCTAACATCGCCCAAATTCTCTCGGAGGTCAAGGCTCTGGCCAACCAGGCGGCCAATAGTTTGGCCGAACAACAGAACTTCCTGGCCGCCCAGAGGACCATGGCCTGGCAGGCTCAGCAGGCGGCCAACTCCCTCAACCAGCAGCAATACGTGGCACTCAACGACCTGGAGGATGCCGCAGGTGCGGCCGCCCAGGCCCAGGCCTCTGCAACCAAGGCCATCTCCAGGGCCAAGGGCAGCAGCGGCCACGGCCAAGGATACGGCCGCTAAGATTTACATATACTTAATTATCTTAGGTTGAAGGCTAATGTTACATAACACATCTATGATGCGAGGTATTACATGTTAAATGGCTTCTGGCGGCAATAAAATGTTTCATAATTATAGAAGTGTACAGAATGCTCTTCTGTGAACTCAACTGATCTGCCGATGTATAGGTTTAATAAATTACTTGACAGAAGCTCTTAGCATTTTTATTTGCCGGACAGCCTAAGGTCCCGTAGTGTTATTTGTCCAGTACATGCTAATGAAAGAGTTGAAGGTATAGTTAACTGTTGTGTATGATACAGAGCTTTTAGTTTGTTAACAGGGAAAATGAGTCATATTCTATTATTCTGAAATAAAAATGTTTCAGAAAATAACACCTCAAATACAAATATTATTCATGAATTTCGACACACAGATGCCTTACAAATATAAAGAATATTTATATTTATTCTATCAATTATCTCTTACAAAGAAGAAGTGATTAACCAAGACAGTATCAGCAACACTAAAGTATATAAGCAAGGTTCACTCCTGTTGCTCCGGAAAACGAGTTTTTCCGGGTGTTTTAAGTCTTCCCATGTTACACCCTGTCGGCAGTGACGGGACATTATGTGGGCCTGTTGTTCGTCCTGGCATGTTTCTTGAAAGGCTCCAAGGATATTGACCAAATTCAGTACAATAGCTTTACATTTTGGGGTTATAAGATCAGAGGTCAAGGTCATTATAGTATTTTATTGAAAACTGCTCTCCACAGCACGAGTCTTGTATCATTTACAGTAGTTAGACATAAGGGATGGGCCCTGCTTGGCGTATCATCACACTTCACAATAACCTCATATATCTCACAAGTCTTCCTAATGGTACCAGGAACCTCATTGGTACTCGTGAGAACATTTGGTGCTTACAATAATGTTAAGTGATTCACAGAGGCCCCTATAATCATTCCAGTACAATTACCACTAGTGCTCATAATTACAAGGTCTTATAATGATCCTCGGTGATTATTAGGTACTCATAATGACCCTAGGAGCTCATTATGATTGACAGGTGTTCATCATGACTCGCAGGTGTTCATTATGAGGCCAAGCAAGCCACAGGTAATTATGATGATCCCAAGTAAATCCCAGGTACTCATAAAGGTATCATGTGGTTAGAATCTTCATAGGTGACTCACATGTGCTCATAATGAAAACCCCAAAGGACTCATTGTGAGATCAAATGACTTACAAATGCCTTTAATGACACAAACTGTCTCACTGTTGCTCATAATGTCCTCCAAGTGAATCACAAGTTTCCAAAAGGACATCAGGTACCCATAATGCTAATAGACTCATAAATGCTCATATTAACTCAAAATGTATCACAGGTTTTATTAAGAAAATCCATAAATTCCATATCACATCAATTTACAGTGTATTACTAAATTGAGTTTAGAGCGGCTCAGCTGTACACGATCCACAAACATTCTTCCAGTGTTACAAGTCTTCATTTGTACTGTTTAAAACGTCCTTCCTTCCCTCCCTCCGTCCCTGCCTGCTGCCTCCCCCCTTCCCTGCCTACTTCCTCCCTCCCTCCCTGCTTGCTCCATGTGTCACTGTGAGTTGGAGGGACGGAGGGAGGCAGGGACATTTTTTCTGGGACACCCTATATTCTATACACAGCCTTAAATACCCAGCTACACTCAAACTAAATACATCGTTGGAGTCAGGTATATCACGTTGGAGTCAGGTATATCACGTTGGAGTCAGGTATATCACGTAACTCACCATTAGCACCAGCGGCGGGGTCTTGTGTGCCTTTAACAGTATTCTTGTTTTGTGAAGGTGTTAGGTTAAGAAAAGAACAAATTGCCTACTCGACCAAATTGACCAGAATATCTAAAATTTAGTTCATATCAGTAGGTAGTAAATGAACGAGGAAGTGTTTGACTAGTTGATGAGGGTATAGGTAGTAATGTTAATAAATGGTATATTTTTAATACTTTTATTAGGTTTTAATATCAATTTAGTGCTTCTTACTTCCTATGTTAAGCGCTTTAGTTTATTTGACACGTGTGTAGTCCCTTTAATATTTCAGTGTTTTCATAAATTAGGTTTATTGAATCATGTCCCCTAAATTAAACCACAACCATTCATCAATAAATAACATGTTTCTGGCCATAAAAACACTATTCAAAAGCCGTAACTATATGGTCAAGAAACACTTAAGAACACACCCAACCTTTATTCAATGTTTTTCAATTCACTGTTAGATGAGGACTTTCGGCTGGCTAGAAACCTCAGTAGTAAAGTCACACAAGCTAATATTGTTACCGGTAATGCACTGTTATCGAGGTTAATCTCCAGCTACCTTAAACTGACCTCCCTACACCTATAGATTCAGTGATCAGGGTGATATCAAAACACCCTATTGCCTTGTTTATTGACGAGAGCTCATTTTGTCCTCATATATGAATCAACGTAACATTTACTCACTTACAGCGATAAGGGATATGAAATGTAATAATTAATAATCTCACATAACTTGAGATTACTAATAGAATTCAATTTGTTAGTTCAGATTTTGTGTCAATAAAGGAGTTTTTAAATATACCCGTCTATTTCTGAGGTTTCTTGGTTACAGTGAGAAAATCAATGGTTAAAAACGTGCAGTTTTTATTTTACATTTTACATTTTACATTTTACATTTCATACTGAATATGTCTTATGTGTAAATTTGTATATTCACACTATTGATTTTTTTTTTGTAATGTATATTTGGAAAAGAATACAAAATCGGTTCTCAGACATTATATAATGGATCATGTTCTACGGTATCTGTATGCGTCCTGGTGTATCTGTATGCGTCCTCCCGTATTTACCTGTCTAAAGTTCGGTAGTTACGGTTCTCGAAGTATTAAAAGTACTTGAAACATATGACAGAATGAATGATCTTTTTCACAGTAAACACAAGAATAATATAACCAGTGTAGGAATGGTATTAACTTCGTGTCATTATCATCATTGTAGGTGTTAAATATCGAGTCACCATCTTGTAATCTATACCTGGTAATAAATTAGATGTCACTGCCTCTTCTACTTCTTGATAATTACGAATCTGAATGACTGTTTATTCATGATTTTATTTGTATATCATATTCATATAAACTTAACTTCCTCTATTATCCTCTACTAAGTCTCCATTACGTTCTTAATATCCATAACAGAGATACAATAGAGATATTTACCGATTAAACCTGAAAAAGCAACTTAAGTTTTTTTTTCTGAATAGGGATAATTTTTTGGTGTTTATTGCTATAGCTCAATGGAAATTAATTTGTTTATGGTAAGATTTTGTTCTGTTTATTTAAGGCGTCGTTTACTGTCATAAATTAGTAAAATTATACCTAAAGTGGATTAGGTTAGTCCTTTATTATAAGTGATAAAGAAGGACTAAAAGTTAATGGTTAATTAATAAAAAATATATGCTATGAAGATGATACTGCTTTTATCACAGTAAAGAGGCAATACAAAAGCTTGGAAATAAATCAGTGTAATCAAAATAAGAATAGGAAAAGGAAAAATAGTGTTTAATAAAATCTGAAAGACATAATGAAAGGGTTTAAATATGGCCAGGACTGATGTATGGGTCAGGTGCGTGGATACTTTCAGCAGTCATCAGAAAGAGGTTGGAGGCCTTTGAAATGTGGCGTTATAGGCGAATTCTAAGAATAAATTACACTGACAAGAAAACAAATGTAGAAGTACTGATATTAGAAAAAAAGTAAAGAGAAATACTTGAAATGTACAGACAAAAAATATCTTCTTTGGTCATATAATTAGGGATGAGGGAATAATAACAGAAATATTAATGGGCAAAGTTAAGGGTAGGAGGGTCAGGGGAAGGCAGAGACTAGGATGGATGAATGGAAATAAAACTGTGTCCCCAGAGAGATACAAAACCTTAGAGGATTGGTGAAAACAGCCCGAGAACGTTTTGAGTGGTGGACTGTGGTCGCCAACCCTAAGATACTCGTATGTTGACGATACTCTGATTGATCGAGGTTTAGTATGAAATTATTGAATCAGAAGTTTCCAAATATGATAAATACATAGAATCACCGACTACCCATAACTTCTATGTATTTATAATATTTGGAAACTCCTGACCGTTCATAAACGATCATGTAGTCTCATATCCCTTGAGTGGTATCGTTTTATTTGGTAATATAATAATTGTGTATTAAAACATACTTTTATTTATTAGTATAGTAAATTACCATGGACATAGGCTATTTTAATATCAGCTGCTCAACATTGAAAGTCAGTATTTTCAGATCAGGCAAACATCCGTCATACACACGTTGTCGTGGTACTCTCTGACTCCGCCATGACGTGTTGAGGTGTGTGTGTGTGTGTGTGTGTGTGTGTGTGTGTGTGTGTGTGTGTGTGTGTATGTGTATCAAGACTCTGGGGACGTTGATGAACAGCTAGCTGCTAGCGACGTGACCTTCAGAAGCCTACATAAACACACTATCGCCCATCATCTTGGTGGTTGTCCTCACTCTCGGCAAGGACGGTGATCGCTGCTGCTCTACTCTTCGCCGCTTCATGGACGAAACACAGCAGGTGTTTTCTCTATCTTCAGTGATATCCTCCACCATATCCAAATCCATGTGTTGCTCCATAACCCCCAAACCCTCCGTTGTTAGCCCCTTTCGCCTTAGAGAGAGCTTTGGCCGCTGCGACTTGTGCCTGTGTGGCGGCACCTGCAGCGGATTGCAGGTCGCTGATGACCACATTCTGTTGTGTTCGCAGAGAGTTGGCAGCCTGTTGCGCCTGCCACGCCATGGAGTTCTGCGAGTTAAGGACGCCCTCCTGGGCAGCCAGACTGCTGGTGGCTTGACCGGCCAGGGCGTTGGTCTCACCAGAGACCTGGCCCATGTTACTGAGCAGAGCTTGAGCCATGGAGTGGGCTACCTTAGCTGCCTGTTCTGCCTTGTGGGCCTTACCAGCCAGTGAAGCCTCCTGGAAGGCTGCTGCCTGTGCTCCTTGTGCTGCCTGCGTGATCTGTGCGGCCTGCGCGTGTCTGTTGGCTGCGGCAGCCTGAGCTGTCTGTGAGGCAGCGGCAGAAGCAGCTGCGGCACCTGCTGCGGCTCCTGCGGCTGCGGAATGAGCTGCAGTTCCAAGACTAGCTAAAGCCGCGGTAGCCTGAGAGGCAGCCTGGTTGGCGATGTCGGCGGCGGTGGGTCCGTGATTTCCGTGACCGTAGCCGCCTACCACAAGGTAGCTGCCGCCGTTACCGTAAGCGCCGCCACCACCTCCACCACCATCGCCATAACCGCTCCCGTAACCGCCAGCGAACCCACGTTTATTCTGCCGATATAGAAATTTCAGTGTAGTTAATGTTTTATGGCAACAACATTGATACTTCATAGAACCTCAAATATCGGAACCTTTTTTTCATAGATTGTTTAACAACGATTATGATTGAATAATACATGTAGTCTGTTTTCATTATTATATAGTGTGTAAATGTTTATATTTCAGGTAACAATATGCTTTTTTGATGTTGATTTGCATTTTCATATAACAAATTGATTGTATCTCACCCTTGACTCCTCACTGTCGTCGCCAGCCAGTACCGATCCTGTAATGAAAGAGGCATCATATTAGCATCGTAATAGATAGTGACGATCATTCATACCGTGTAGTTTACTTTTAAATTGATTTCTCTACGGCAAAAGAATTGTATATTCTTGAGGAAGACACCCCAAGAGTCTTAGCTTATTAGCTCCTCTGGTATTAACAAACTCTTGAATTATTTACTCTAATGCCAGCTCAAGGTATTTCTTCGCCATTCCTATGACTGTAAACTTGTACGTTTTTATTGCATTCTATTTTATTTACATTTTCATTACTTGTTTTACCTAATACAGCGATATTTTTCTTAACTGAAGAGATTATCTCATTATAAATCTTTTCACCTTAGCATAAACCAAAAAAAAAAACATCTTCCATGACTAGGGATGTTTGTTGTCAATTTTGCCCATATAAACATTACTATTACCCAGACCAACAATAGAGCCTCATTTTCACCCATGATCATGCAGGAGAGAATGACGAGTCGATACATGGTGTGTGGTGATATTGGGAGCAGCGTAGACGACGTTCACACAACCACGGTTATCGAGCTACTGTGTGGTGAAGACTGGACTGCCACTTTTATAACCCCCGCCCTCTCTGTGTTCACTGACGTCTGCACTCAATTGTAATCTTATCTTTAGCTTTCACGTCACTGGTAAAATAACCTGATTAGAAAGAATACCAAACCAAAAACGTAGGTGGAAGTATTAGTAGAGAATTATGGAATGGAAAGTGTCTGAGTGAACATACGGCAAGAAAACGAGAATTAGACTTTATTAGAGGTAAAAATCAACACAAAACATACTGCTTTTGGGACTGATTCAGAAAAATGCCAGAACCACAATATTATTGCCTTCACGTAACTAAGATGGGAATACACTGAAAACTTATAATAATCGTGAAATCAACACCTTGTAAATTCCCAACTTGTAAAGATTCTTATGAAATGAACAAGATAAAAAGTCCATTTGGGCAAGTTGTCAACATCTCACGTCACAGGTTTATTGAGAGTTAAAAATCTATAAATAATATATAAGCCACATTTAATACAAAACGGATCCAAGGTTTTGTATTATGTGGCCGTCACTGATACAAGTGCTTACCGCTGGGTCTTGTTCTTTCGTATTCTTTCTTCTGGTCAGTCTTATGATTACAGCTAGGTATTGATTTTCTTTCTTTCTTTCTTTCTTTCTTTCTTTCTTTCTTTCTTTCTTTCTTTCTTTCTTTCTTTCTTTCCTCCCTCCTTACTCCCTTGGTTCCTCAGTACATTCTTAGCAAATTATTCTGTTCCTGCATGAATTTTTTCTTGATTTGGGTAGTTAATTTGGTAGTTCATTTAGATGATTCCTTAAAATAATTCATTTAGGTAATCAATTTAGGTAAGTGGTTTAAGTATGTGATTTAGGTAAGTGGTTTAAGTATGTGATTTAGGTAAGTGGTTTAAGTATGTGATTTAGGTAAGTGGTTTAAGTATGTGATTTAGGTAAGTGGTTTAAGTATGTGATTTAGGTTAGTGGTTTAAGTATGTGATTTAGGTATGTGGTTTAAGTAGTTTAGGGAAGTGGTTTAGTATGTGATTTAATTCAGTGGTTTAAGTATGTGATTTAGGTAAGTGGTTTAAAATTATGTGATTTAGGTAAGTGGTTTAAGTATGTGATTTAGGTAAGTGGTTTAAGTATATGTGATTTAGGTAAGTGGTTTCGTATATGATTTAGGTAGAAGTGGTTTAAGTATCTGATTTAGGTAGGTAAGTGGTTTAAGTATGTGATTTAGGTAAGTGGTTTAAGTATGTGATTTAGGTAAGTGGTTTAAGTATGTGATTTAGGTAAGTGGTTTAAGTATGTGATTTAGGTAAGTGGTTTAAGTATGTGATTTAGGTTAGTGGTTTAAGTATGTGATTTAGGTATGTGATTATTTTAGATACTCATTTATATAATTCATTTAGGTCATTTTTCTGTATCTTATTCCCTTATGTTTTATTTCAGTGGGAAGAAACATATTATTTTTCCTATGACTCGATTTTTTTCCCTCCCCCCCCCCTTATCTATAATAATCACACATATTTCCTTCGTCTCTTGGCCCATCACCTGTAGGCTTGGAGTTAAACCCTCGTTCGATATTTTGATCAAAGAATAAACTCACTACGAGCTATTATTCAGGTCGATTGTTCCATGTATTTTTGTGAAGGGGAAATTTAGGAAAACTGGTCTCTAATGGCAAGTCCCTCACACACACACTAATGCAGTTTATTTGAAATTTGTTCCTCTTAAATTTACGGGGGTAGGAAGTTAAGGATTGTCACAAATACTTTTTAACTTTTTTCACATTACATTTATGGTAATTTTGACAGTTCTAGCATAAAGTTATCGCCTGCTAACAGTTAAATATCAAATTTGTGATATTTTATGAATGTTACAGCTTCGGGTGTAGAGGCGTGTGATGAAGTGCAGTACAACAGAAAGCTGTTATTTTGTATGTGTACTTAATTTTCGCTAAGTTTGGTGAAGTGTTTATACTGTAGATGGCAGTGTAATTGATGTAGAATAGATAGTAGTGTAGTGGATGTAGTGTAGATAGTGTTGGGAATAAAGTGTGAATTCTGGAGTGATTGTAATGTAAATTCTGGATTGGATATAGCTTAGCTCATATTGTAGTCAAGGATTTAGGCTGAGCTGCCCTAAAAGCCAAGTGCTGACAACGCCAGGTATTTAAAGTTTACCATAAAGACTAATTCTAAGATTGAGGGTATAGGTACTACGAGGATTTTTTTTTTTTATTTTATTTATTGGGCACTCCCCTACATCCTTGTGTAAGGTGAAGCGCAGAAGCGTTTACAGCGCCCAACAGGGAAGGATGCTAAGTTCATGCTTGCCTTTATGTCTCACGAGTTAAGGGCGTAGAAGCTTGAAGAGTCAAGGGCGAAGAAGCCTGAAGAGTCAGTGGTTTATGTCATCAAGTTATTGGAAGCTCCAACAACTTTCCCTGAATACGAATTCGCAACTTTTGACTTACAACAGGTACCTACTTTACTGGTAGGTGAACAGGGACTAATGGGGGCTAGGAAGTAAGTCCAAACAACTTCCACCGGCCCGGGGTACTACGAGGATGATTAAATACAAATAGAAAGGTCAAGAGAAATTAGGCCTATACCCTAGCGTTAGGCCTACACCCAAGCGAGGTGGTCTAAAAGGCAAGACAACTTCAGGGCATATTTATAACCCTTGTTGAATTATTAAGTATCAATTATGTTAACTATTGATAGGTAAATCTTCTTTAGCCTGAGTTTAGTTCATATATGCTTTAAGTCAACTTTACTAGACTATTATTTTAGCTAAGTAGTTGTGTATACTGTACCAAGAAGAACTGTACCGTGTGTTGTTATCTATTTATGTAACATTTCTTGTCTGATCTGTTATATAGAGTAGTTGTTTCCGTGATGAACACCACGGCTTAAAACTTGGTATGACAACGCTTTCTTTGGTAACACAGGACTAATATTAAAAGACTGTGTAATGTAATTGATATATTTATGAAAGTATTTCTGAATTAGAAACATTCTCCCACAGTGTTGATGACAATTGGTTGATGTATCAACCAATTATAATATGTCGTCCCGGCAACTTGCGTCAATTTGCGCTGGTATGGCGAACCATTTCCCAATCATGCTGGATAGACAAAAGCAAATGACATTAAGGGACTTCCTTAACGGTGTACTCTAATCGAGGACCTCCTGCTTGTAAGTCTAAGAGTGATGTCCACAACACTATGGGTCGCCTTCCTGTGATATATCACCTTTATTTACAATGTTCTTGTGTTAAATAATTTCTCAGGAACAGCTGCGGGAGATCACTGTCTTGTTTGGGCATCTCTGCTGAACAATACACCAGACTGGGGCGTTTATTGATTGAAACACAAGGCTGTTAGAAGAAGACAGTATATTTATATATTCTACACGCACAATTGCAAACATTGTGCGTTTGTCGTAAAAAATCGATATCACTGTTATACATACAACCCGTCCATCACACGTCACTCCTAGCGGCCGTATCCTTGGCCGTGGCCACTGCTGCCCTTGGCCCTGGAGATGGCCTTGGTTGCAGAGGCCTGGGCCTGGGCGGCCGCACCTGCGGCATCCTCCAGGTCGTTGAGTGCCACGTATTGCTGCTGGTTGAGGGAGTTGGCCGCCTGCTGAGCCTGCCAGGCCATGGTCCTCTGGGCGGCCAGGAAGTTCTGTTGTTCGGCCAAACTGTTGGCCGCCTGGTTGGCCAGAGCCTTGACCTCCGCGAGAATCTGGGCGATGTTAGCGGCCAGGCCATGGGCCATGGAAGCTGTTATCTTGGCCGCTTGATAGGCGATGTTGGCCTTAGAGGCGAGAGAGCCTTCAGCGAAGGCTGCGGCCTGTGCTCCCTGTGCCGCTTGCGTCACCTGTGCAGCCTGTGACTGCTTGCTGGCTGCTGCGGCCTGAGCTGTCTGTGAAGCTGCATTAGCAGCAGCTGCGGCACCTGCAGCGGCTCCTGCAGCTGCGGCGTGAGCTGCACCTCCTAGACCTGCTGCAGCTGCAGTGGCCTGGTTGGCAGCCTCGTTGGCGACATCGGCGGCGCTGGGACCATGACCGCCGCCACCGCCGCCGCCAACTACCAGGTAGCTACCGCCACCTCCGTGGCCGCCGCCATGGCCTCCACCGTAGCCGCCACCATGGCCGCCAGAGAATCCACGCTTACCCTGGGGACAGGAGTTAAGGATCATAATAATACTAAAAACAGAAGTCAAGGGTTATTATTTGTCTGTGGTGACGGTTCAGTGGTTAATATTGTCTTTGGGTGGTTGTCAGGGGTAAATGATCATTATGTCGAGGACTGTCATTATGCATGACTTTTGCTACAAGGCATTAGGCCAGATGATGGGGGAGCTTTTTATAATACTCTAAGAGGAGATAAAGTATTTTATTATTACTCCTGGGAATAATAACACTGGTAAACAGCCACAGGGATCACACACTATCACCCGGGAGTCTAGATTCGAGTGAGGGACGTAGGACACCCTTGTCCTGGAGAGCAGATGTCAAGGTTTCTTTCCACAGGCTAAAAGGTTCTCACTTGTATCACCTACTGCTTCCATAGAGAGGGTTTATGTATATGGTGGATGTCAGAGTCTATATGTCACTGTGTGTGTGTGTGTGTGTGTGTGTGTGTGTGTGTGTGTGTGTGTGTGTGTGTGTGTGTGTGTGTGTGTGTGTGTGTCGTCGTGTGTTCGTCCGACGTTGAGAACAATTCGACACAGATTAAAATTACAAGATCTGAGACGAGTTCATTAATCGACATCAACACTGAGACCACGTAACGCCAGCTCACATTATTAATGCATGTACAAAATATGTCCACACACAAGGTTAAGACAATACTCTTTATGCATTATGGGCGTATGGAACTTACTCAAATTATCATGTCTTAAACCTTCGAGAGAAGATGGACATGTATTGGGCAGATCAAAATTCAATTCAATTCAAAATATCATGTACGGCAGAAGGTACCCAAATAATGTGTAAAAAGAAATAAAGTAAATAAGTAACATCAGTCATCAGTGCTTAGCGTCTTAGTGGTCATAATGTTTTAAAAACTAATTTACTACCGTGAATATTGAATGTATTAAGTCTCTTTTTATATAACATTTTCAGCCACCTCGGTAAAGGAACAAACTATGGAAATTATATAATTGAGTGATGGTTTACTAAATCAGTCAATTATCTCCTAGAATCAGTCAGTAATCCACAGCCGTTAATTAACTGCAAGAATCTATCAATAATGTACTCTAATCCATCAATACTTGCTAGAATCCTCAACAGTCTATTAGAATACGTTGATTATCTACTAGAATCTGTCAACTGTTACTAAAATCCGTCAATAGTGTTAGAATCCGTTAATAATGTACTAGAATCCGTCAATAATCTACAAGACTCCTTCAGGCATGTACTAGGGTCATATAAAGTAATGTATTAGAAGCACAAGAGGAGCTCACCCTTGTTTCAGCTTTCTCCCCGGCAAATGTGGATCCTGTAAAATAGACGAAGTGGGTTAGTTTTCTTATCGGTTTAAAAATGAGTAAATATTTATCGATATATGAATTTTCGTTGGTGAAGTTTTATATAGAAGTGAGAATCCGACATTTGAATTAGAAATAGATAAAGATCATCTTATAGGTCAGATGAGTTGATACGGATAGTGAGATAACAACCTATTGTATTTTAAGTCTTAAGTTAACAAGGCACTGCACTCGACCTAACCAAACCTAATTAACCATTCACAGAGGTGCTCTAAGCTCGAATTGAAGACGAACCTCTCGATATAAGGAATCAGATGTAGATATTTTGTTAAGATGTTTAGATATAAGGTAATACTTATCTATGAATCAAACTTATTTCAGTTAACATACCGGTATCTACAGCTCACAGATAATCATATGAATAATACTAGTATTATTATTATTATTAGAGATATATCTGTGTTATGTATGTGTCTGAGGAAGAAAGTTATAATATTGTTGATGCTGTATATAATAAAAGGATGTGAACATTCACCAATAAGTAAGCAGGCGACGAGGACGTGAGTGTACATGGTGGAGGGAGTTACTGAGGCCGGGGCTTGGCACCGTCTGACGTTAGGCAGGCCACCGACCCTCACTTATATACTCAAGGCAGCTACGCCTCGCTCCACCCCACTCCCTCGCTACCCTGTCAATCAAAACTGAAATTATTGGATATAAAACCAATTAAAATATATTTTATATTTACACGTTACAAGTACAATCTTTTACCACAAAGATTTATGAAATAAAACAAAAAAAGACAAACAAATTACCAATAAACATTACGTGGGTATGCTAACCCTACTCTCTCTCTCTCTCTCTCTCTCTCTCTCTCTCTCTCTCTCTCTCTCTCTCTCTCTCTTTCTCTCTCTCTCTCTCTATATATATATATATATATATATATATATATATATATATATATATATATATATATATATAGAGAGAGAGAGAGAGAGAGAGAGAGAGAGAGAGAGAGAATTGGGGACCTGGAGATTAATCGACTGGCGAACAGTGTTCCGGGGTAATGATTAGGCAGTGCATTTGGCGAGTTGTCCGGTCTTCTTGGCGTTCTGTATTCCTGGAAGCTGGGTCATACAGCCCGTCATCTTAGGTTGTGGTTGTTGTGTTGGCGCCAGCTAAATTCACTCCTCAAACACGAGGGGAATCATTTTGTGTGTGTGTGTGGGGAGCTTTCTAGGGATATCTAATTGTACTGTGAAACATTAAAATACAAAGGGCGTTTTCCCCAATTAGGAATAAGTTGTTGTTTTTATTGCCGTAACATGTGAAAATAAGTTTATATATATAAATCTATTCTCCCGTTTCATTTCAGACGGCGTTTGTTAACATTCAAGCTACACTTAGACAGGTTAGATAAGATTAGGGTAAGCGAGGATATGTGAAGTTAGGTGAGGATATTTGAAGTTAGGTGAGGATATGTGAAGTTTGGTGAGGATATGTGAAGTTAGGTGAGGATATGTGAAGTTAGGTGAGGATATGTGAAGTTAGGTGAGGATATGTGAAGTTAGGTGAGGATATGTGAAGTTAGGTGAGGATATGTGAAGTTAGGTGAGGATTTGTGAAGTTAGGTGAGGATTTGTGAGTTAGGTTAAGTTAGGTTAGGTAGTTTAGCAATAAAACCATTCATATATAATTTTTATTATATACATTTTCGTCTTATTTGCTGATCAGTCTACATAAAAAAAGCCAAAAGGAAACAGAGCTTCTTCGGAATTATTACTGGAGTGAAATTGAGGACCGAATTTATGTGAAACTAACGAATGCACCTGAGAACGACATGAGAGGAATGGCTAACACCCTGAGGAAGGAAGGAAGGAAGGAAGGAAGGAAGGAAGGAAGGAAGGATGACAGAATGAGTAATAATTCCACGGAGGAGAACAAATCGCCATAGTATTAACCCATGAATCTGTATTGACCACACCTTAGTTAACGTGTCCGCCACTGTGAACTAATGCACCGGGTATTCCATCTTTCCTCGTCGCTATAATTTAGAGAAAAAAACACACATTTATTGCTCGCTTTTAACGCCAAATGAACTTGATTAACGGTTCTTGTGCAATGATGTACATTTAATTTTTTGTGTGTATCCGTAAATTACAGTATTCTTGTAATATTCAATGCGTTTATCGTAGTGAAAACTTTGATATTGAATGTGATTTAATTTATTTGATTTCAGGAAAGATTAAATAAAATGTGGCAATCAACTCACATACCTTCCTGCGCGCGCAAGACAGTTGACAATGGGAGTAAAAGCACCACACTATACGTTCTTGCTGCAGCCTCTCTCAAAGCCACAAAGACGCGAGTAACAAAAGTTCTTCCATGATTTCCAGGTTTTTCATTGAGGTTCATCAATAGATCTAGCCTGTGTGTCTCACCCGGTCACTTGGCACGCATTGTAGAGGAGGGGGGGGGGGAGGGGAGGGGAGATTACATAACACCAGCACCCGACCTCCCCCCTCCCCTCCCTTTCTGCTGTTCCCCGACCTCTCCCACTTCCTCCCCAGGACTACTTAGTGCTTCCATAGTGGGATCGGTTGTGTTCTGCTCTATTCACTTTCGTAAGCCACAGTCGAAAGTGTTACTTTGTTAAATAAAAACAAAAATAGACTACACTTAGTTATGACGTATTAATGCCAAATATGGGTGTGTTATTGAACAAGCGTATGAAATTACTAGCATCAATTATCTAAGGAAAATAAGTTGGAGATGGGAATGATTACTGATACCTTTGTCAATAAGTTGTGCTAGAGGATGCTTCGAAGATATATTATTGCCTTTAATCTAAGTTCCAGATGAAAGTACGGGTAAAGGTGGAGTGTACAGTTAACACCTGAAGGACCTTATTGATTTTATTAATTTTTGCGAGATTGCTGATGATACTAAATAATGAATGTGATAAAAGAATTACGTGCCATTAACTTCACTTAATCTAACGAAACCTAATAGCGATTTACCTAACCAACTTAACCTAACCTAGTTTTATTTCTCATTTCCAAATAGAGTATGAAAATAAAATCGTCAAAAATATATAGGAAATGTTCCAGGGAATTTGACTGTGCTCAAAGTATGTGCTGGGTGTGTTTACCTTTTTCGCGGACCAACCTTAGACAGTGGGAAAAATTAGGAAAAATAATTCAAATGACACTTAACATTTCTCATATCCAAAGAATTATTCAAAGCCATCATAAAAACCAGGAAAAAATGAAGAAAATCTATAAAGTTCTGTCAAGGGTGAATGAGTCAACCCATGCCAAGCCTTTAAAGTTCTTTTTGATTGACAAATGATGAACCACTCAGTTAAATGAAGTGAAAAATGCAGTTAAGATGTAGTAGAGTACAACCGCAGAACTATATTTATTATGGTATTATTACAGTTTCGGACATTGCTCGAATTTTGGGAATTTCATCTTATATATAATTGTTTTCAACAATTCTTAGACACTTTTCTTCTATGACGTTTCCCTTGCAAAGGCAATTTTACCTCCTAGGGGTAGGTTGGTTAAGCGATTTGCGATATAAATGAATGTAAAAATCGTTTAAAACTCACAAAAAAACAACAGAAAAATATAATTCGAACTTCCAAAACTTATGATGTCCGAGACTGTAAATTTACCAGGTAAGGTAGGTTAGCTAAGGTTAATTTTGGTGTAAGGTTAGGTCAGGCTCTAATGGGTTCTGTACATTGTCATAACATTTTCTTACTTAATATCATCCAAACAATATCTGAAAATTTGGTGCAATTCCATAATGTCCTTCTGGTGCTAACCGTCTCTTGTAACATTACCATATTGTGTATTTTTGAAAATGAGCCTTGGTTACTCACATTTTCTCTGGTTGCTTTTCAAATTAAACTTGTGTCACGCTTACCTTTTCTTGTCTTTTGGGAAGTAATGAAACCTTGGTCTTTATTGTTATTTTTATTTGTGCCGCACACAACACACTGGTGAAGTAAGTCCATTCCTTCTCGCCATGTTTGTGTCACTGTCATGCCAGTCACCATACCCAGCGACCAAGTTAAAACAAACAGCCGACACAACTTTTCCGGCCATTTAATAAGTACCATCTAGTGACCAGGTGTGCGCACTGTGGAGATCTACATTAAGTCGCTTTAAGATACATTTCTTCCTGTATACTTTCCCTGGGTGTATCCAATCTTCGGCGCATGGGCTTCTCCATGCAGAGATTAAGGATTTACCGTATTTCCCGGCTCATAAGACGCTACGGGTGATAAGACATGCCCTGTCATTAGAAAGGTATAATTTAGAAAAGTAATTTTTGCGGATTTATTAGCCTACTCTATGGCAAGTCCAAGTCGCTGGCTATATGCTGCAATGTTTCTCACTACCACAGCTAACTATCACTTTATGGACCTATTTTATCAAACATTTGTTGGTTTTATTAATTAAATTTACCTAATTTAGTATAAAAGGATATAATTATATAGGTACAGTCAGCCAAAGATCCAGCGACCCCACTCAGGATCTCGTACTGCCGCCGTTAATCGCACATAATATATCACAGCGATTGCCACCAGTACGGCGAAGACGATGAATGACAACAATGGCCACCACTACAGCCTCCCTTATTACGACCACCATTGCAACTACTGAAATAAAAATGCTATAAATTTACAAAATGTTCACGTGAGGATTATAAGGAACTACCTCATGACATTAAGTTATATATTTTATGAATGAAATTATTACTATATGGTTTCTCATGGGTTGAATTGTTTTGTTTATGGTTTTTTGATTCCCTATTTATTACATTGTTATTGGAACTATGTATATAAAATTACCTTTTATGCAATGCCATTTGCTTCTAATATGTCTTTAAAATGACCGCTTTGATATATAATTAATTTTTCCATCAAAGAACTCAATATTTTACAGACAACAAAAGAAACAAAACTTGCTATAAGAATGTGTTGATAGAGGCCACATTTTCTATAAGAATGTGTTTATTGTGCTGTAAAAAACCGGGCACCTTGTATAATAATAATATTGATGATAATAATGGTTCATTGAAAACGACACAGCAGTCAAAAGGCTGAAAATATACAATGGACTTGAATGACTATATAGAAAAGGAAGTGGGTCGCTTAGCAAAAACTTTCATTACAATAAGGAAATGACTACCATCAACAATGAGGAGGACTCCAGACAATCTGCCTCTTGTTACAATGTTATTAGTGCGCTTCAACGACGAATGTTTTTAAATTAATCGTTATAAATCGGTCTAAATTAATTTACCCAAGCAATTAACAAATTCTACGCTTGGTTACGTAAGGTAGATTGAAGCTACGAAACCACTGACTTTTAAGCAGATAAAAAATATTTATATTACTTAAGTCTACCATTATTCATAAGAAGAAAACGATTTAATATAAGATACAAGAAAATGGAGTATTGATGGGAAACTCAACCTTCAAGTAAGGATGAGGCTTTTTATTCCATATTAGACGTTATCTGTTGATTTTTAAAAGTTGAAAAAACCCCCAGAAACTACAGCTATCACTTATCGTCAAGGAGAGAGAAGTACA